GCTACTGTAATACTTTTTACAAAACTTCTGGATTCCTCCTGCGTTTTTGTTGAGTCGAACTTGCTGACGTTTCGCCAATCATCCTGTCGGCTTCTTCAGAGCTTGACTGAAACTGGCTTGTATTTTACTCTATATCTGCTTACATATTGTTTGAGGGGGGCGGAGCTAATTGAGGGGCATATACCTCGTCTCGGATGACTGATTCCCATATTCGTGACATGTAGAGACCCGAGTCGCGGTTTATATATGGAATTTTGTCTTTGACGGACCAAAGATGTTGAGAAATTTTTGGACAATCTATTTTTGACGTTATATTTCTTTAGAACTTTTGATATGTGGGCAGTGATGTTTTGAATGTAAGGAAGGACCACAATGGCAAGTGTAGGATTGCTTTGGGCCTCATTGCTATTAGAAGATTGTGGTGAAGTGTATTTTCTGATGGAACGCTTTATATCTTTAATGTGGCAATTATTACAGAGAAGAGCAGAGGTAAGGTGATGGGACAATGCATTAAGTTATCGGTCTGCGGGCGTAGGTTTTCTGTAAACACAATGACCCAATGTTAGGTCTGATTTTATATTGACAAGAATATCTTAGAATGGGAGGTTATTGGTATTGGTATTGGCATTAAAGGGGGGCGCCCTCGTGGGCGTCCAAGCACTTAGGCCACCAGATGGGCCCGTTGTGCCCCCAGGCCGCTCTAGAGGGCGTCCAGAATGCCGCCCCTCCTGTAGAAGGTCAGCAACTCCTTTAGCCCAATACCGTGCACTGAGTCCGGATCGATCAGGGCCGTTCCGAAGACTTCCAATCTTGCCCATGTCAAGGCAGGGCACTCGGTGAGCAGATGATACGGGGTCTCCTCCCCTTCCATGCACCACCTACACTCCGGGTCGTCTCCAATGCCTAGCAAGCAGAGATGCCTCCTAAGCCTGCAATGTCCTGTGTAGGCCCCTGTTAGTGCTCTACACTCCCTCCTGGTCAGTCTAAGCAGCTCCCTGGTCCGAGGAAGGGCGGGCCCATCCATCATAAGCCTCGCCTGCCTCATTCCCGGAGCAACTCTCCAGCCCCCCGCGGCCCGGTCTCTCGCCCAGGCTTCGAGAGCTCCCCGCCTCACACACGGGGCGATCCCCAAGCGGGGCTCTGGCCCTATATGCCTATGCGAGGAGCCCTCCCTGGCTAAGGCGTCCGCTGCCTCATTGCCCCGGACACCGGTGTGACCCGGGACCCAGACCAACGTGACCTTTCTCTCCTCAGCCACCCTCCTCAGTACCCCTTTGCACTCCTTTATCAACAAGGAGCGCGTACGCACTGACTTCAGCGCCATGAGTGCAGCCCTACTATCCGAGCAGAAGAAGACTCTCCTGCTTCCGTAGTTGAGCCGAAGCACCTCTCTGGCCGCCATCAATAAAGCGAAAATTTCCGCCTGAAACACAGTGCAGTACTGACCCAGAGGGACCGACAAGCTTGATCCCGTTGTCTCGCAGTACGCTCCAGCTCCGGCCAGATCTCCCATTCTGGACCCGTCAGTGTACCAGACAAGTCCATCCCAGGAGCCGACTCTGCCCTCTCTCCAATCTTCCCTTGATGGAAAGAGAAAGGTCAATTTATCAAAGAAGGTCATCTCGGGGATCATGACGTCACTCGGCATGCCCATGACTGAATGGGAGGTTATTATTAGTTTAAATTTCTAAGAAAATCTACAAGGGATTCTTGACCATGAGGCCAAATGACAAAAGTATAATCGACGTAGCGTTTTAGATGGAAGGTGTCGAGAATTTTCTTCTTAAAGGCTTCCAAAAATATATTCGAGATGACTGGTGGAGAGCCCATAGCTGTTCCCGACGTTTGTTCAAAACGTTAGCAAGTTCGACAAAAACCGACGCAGGAGGAATCCAGAAGTTTTGTAAAAAATACTTGTAATACTAATTATGGCAATACAATTACAAATTACAAAAACATCCATATTAAAAGTTGGTTAAGTCGTAAAATCTAAGTAGAAAAAGTGTTCAGGAAGCAATTGTGTAAGTGTGAGATGACAAAATCGATTTTTTGCCTCCCAAATAAAATGCCAAATGCCAATGGACAAGTAGCTCAAAAAACTGTAAACAGGTATGTGGCCAGGGAAATTAACAACTATTATAAAACAACCCAATAAATAATTTCTTCAAACAACCGTTTCCATTTCTTCCGCGTTTATTGTTGTTGGTCTTTCCTTATATACCCAATTGCATGGTAAATACGTAAAAACTAATCAAGCACGCTATTACTTAAAATCGTTTTTTTTTAATGTTTAACTTATAAAAAAATACATACGTGTAGAAACGTAGAAAACTAAACGTGTCTACCGGGCTTGAATGAGTAAGGTAGAGGCCCCTTATAATAATATATCGTGCGATGGATTACGTTCAAATAAAAAATGGGCTTGGTATCCCTCTTATTTACATTAGAATATAGAACATAAATAATATTATCCGTGTGGCATGCTTGTTTCTGTTATCTCGACGTATTCTTCTTGCCCATTAAATCCTCATTATTGTCGTAAATTATCAACATAAATCCAACGGCTTCCGCTTTGCACTTTCCTCAAATTAACCAAGTAGCCGTATAACTCACTATAATGTGGTCAGATAAATCGTAATTCTGACTGAGTGGTATGCGTGGATAATTGATATACTCCGGTGCTAACGTACGAATTATGAGTAGTCGGTTGCTGCTGGAGTTTTGTTGATCTTAGTAGTCTAAAGCTTGATGGTACTATTGTTGTATTGTGAGCAAAGGATTTAAAATCAGCTGCGTATGTGACAGTCCATAAGTTTCTCTCCTAAAAAATAATGCCATTTAAATATAGGTGGGATTTTTCTGTGTTTCTATGTTTTTATTTATCTTTAATCTTTAACCGATTTCATCGATTTTTCGAGAGCAACAAGATTGCTTTCGCAATTATTATGCGCACACCCTGTATGAAGTGCCCTCTATGAGGTGAAAAATTTGTACTAGTAATTGGGATTTAAAATGATATTTTTTCAAATATTTTGCGTATGGTCTGTTCATAGATATAAAAAAGTGACCAATTGCTTTTGAATGGGATTATCCAAGGGTGGTCATTAACATACAATGCAACAGGATTATTACCTAAAGTTTCGGAATTTAAATTCAGGTAAAATTGTGGTCCGTAATAATAATTTTTACCTACCTGCGTTTAATATTTTTTGGTTGGGTATACTACTTAGTTTAAGTTTATGAGTAATTATTCTTATTTCGTGTGTAATACCGCGTGTTGAATCGTGTGCGAATTATGCAAAATTGAATCTTTTGGAATTCGGGAATAACGACTGGAATATCTAGAAAAAATTATAATTTACAGAGAACAAGAAAGGCCAATTTACTTGGATGAAACCTGGTTAGACATTTATGATACCCCAGAAAAGGGTTGGGTTGGCTTAACTGATAAGTTTCAAACAAACGCGCCATCAAAAAGAGGTAAAAGAATAACTATTTTGCATGCTGGCTCTAAAGATGGTTGGATTTCAAATGGACTTTCTCTGTCTGCGAAAAATATTAAAGATTCCCCTTCCTCATGTGACACAAAAGCAACAATCCAAAACTCTATGTATAATAACGACATTTATTTTCACGAAGATCATACCAAAAAGCAATTAATTGAGGTTCTACAAAGCTTGAATACGTCTGTTATAATTATGCAAAAAATCTAGGGTATACAGTTTTACCACTGTATATTTAATCGCATTGAACATGTTGGGCAAAAAAAAACATATAGAAAAAGCAGAACAATCAATAATAATATAGAACAAATAATAATTAGAACAGGCGATGATAGCGATGGTGATACTGATATATTATGTGAATAATTTTAAGTAATTTCAATAGGTAATAAAAATAATTTGTAATTTTATTTTAGATTTAAACATAATTACATATATATAAATAAATAAATATTGTTTCTTCTTCTTAACAAAACCCAAAATAATTAGATTATAAGCAAAGTACGGACCTGTTCGGCCATATTTCATTCTTACAGCTTGTCCGGGTCTTTCCTTAGTTCGTATCAGTTAGTGACTTTCTTATATCTATGAACAGACTATACCCTGCATTATAATTTCTCTCTGGACACAGTGTACGATACCGTTCAAATCGCATTATCCCCTCTTTAATAGTTTTCTTATCACCAATAATTTACCCACCAAAACGAAAATTTTTCGTATTTTTAAATTTTTTGCTTAGAAAGGACACACCCTGTATATAATTTAATCAATAGAGGTTAATAGCCCTGGATCTTCCATTTTTCCTTGAACATGAATTTGTTTTCTAAAACCATGGAATAGTAAATGACGTCATGACGAGAAATGGTGATTTTCATTCGGATTTTTTTAAATATCTCGAACAGCGTATGTAATAGACGAAAACCGTGAAATTGTAGCTCTTTTTTTAGGAATTTTGATTTTAGGGTAATAATTTACTATGTTAATAAACAATTTTTAGCCGTAATTGAAAAACTCGGCATATAATCGAAAAAATGCTTGAAATAAAAGTTAAGTTCCTCCGGTGACAGTGACTCTATCCATCACAAAATTGCCGTCGGTTGCCTCTATACATGAAATTCATTCATGTCAAAAGTGGCAAAAACAATGCGGCCGACAATTAAAATTCAAAAATATCAGGCATTCTTTTTTAATCACTCTATATTTGTCGTAATTCAACATACTATATAGAAAACCAAATTTTTAATGCTTATCATAGCGGGTAAGGGTGAAATGCGTTTTCCAAACTTAACCTCGCTTTTTGAGAAAAACTGTATTTATTTAATTTTTTTTAAATCTTTTACTGCATATTTAAAAAATGCTGAAATTTTCTTAGTCTGAGACATTGTGAATCTCCTCTGTATCAAATAATAACCGTTTAATGCGTAGACGAGACGAATTAAAATATTTTAACTTTCATTTTGATGGGATTAGTTAGTTTTCCCTTTTTTTTTATTGCAGAGAGCCTTGCTTACGGGCTTAGACATCCCAAGTGTGAAGCTGGCATATGAAGAGGTACGCTCTGATGGGAATGACACCCAATGGTAAGTGTCATAATTTCTGGGGTTGTTCTTATCATCAGCATTATTATTATTAAAGTTTTTTGTGTGTGTTTTTCCCAATTTATTCAGTCGGTTCTCGCTTAACTCTATCTCTGTGTATCATATTTTGATTGTTAATATTAATAGTTAATAATAATTAATTAAATTTTAAATAACTAAATTAGGTTTGTTTGTTTACTGAATTTGTTTTATCTGATATAGTTTTGATCAAATTTGGTTTTTCTGTAAGAATTTTTGTTAGATAAGATGGTGAAAAGGAAGGGTAAAATGCTGCAAAGGTAATAAGGTAAGTGTCATAACTTCTACTGTTGTTGTTATCATCATCATCATTAATATTAACGTTTTTTATGTTTTTTTTCCCAATTTATTCTATTAGTTGTCGCTTAATTCCTTTTTAATTGTATTTAAGTGTATCATATTTTGATTGTTAATAAGCCTTTAGTCATTTGTTATAATTAAATTTAAATTTAAAGAAGTTGAAATTAAAAGAAAAACACGAAAGAAAAACAACTAAATTATTTTTTTATTATTTACTTCATTTGTTTTGTCTGATTTAATTTTATACATATTTGGTTTGTCTGTAAGCTGTAAGATGGCCAATGGGAAAGATAATATACTGCAAAGGTAATAAAAGGTGACTGCTAATTTCGATTTTCTTTTAACTTGCGAAAAATCGACGAAATCGAATTTTTCGAAAGTATTGGCGACGAAACTTATATCTCGGCAACGGTAGGTCCTAGGGGAACGCCATTGGTACAGAAATGATCAGGGTCGAAAAAAAAACTTTTTTTTTCTGTTCTCCGTTATCCGTAGATAGATAGATAGATAGATATTTATTTCGCTTTTCGATACTACATATAACACATAAGCACGTCACATCACATTAAAATACAGTGTTTAAACAATACATTTAAAAAAAATCATCTACTGAGTAGAGACACCTATCAGTTAAAAAGGTCTTAATTCTTTTCTTAAGCACAGATAAATTATCAGTTTCTTCGAAGCATTCATAGAAATTTAAAGCTCTGTTATATACTTTCAAGCCAAAATACCTTGGGTTTTGTTGCCCGTTATGCAGTCTAGAAAATGGAACGTCCAAGTAATCTCTTTGCCGTGTGTCATGTTCGTGCAAGTCACATCTCCTATTTCATCTTATCATGTCACTTTTGACGTAAAAATGGATACCGTATCTCGAATATTTTGGATTAAGTATGAGCAGGAGCTTAATTTGGGCAATATGTTGTCGATGTGATGATTCCATGTAAGTTTGTTGTCGATGTGCAGACCGAGAAACTTAGTAGCCTCCACGTTTTCTATAGAACGTCCTTCTAATTGGAGAAGAATACTGGAATCAACGCGAATATTTTTTGTGACTATTTCCATAGCTATTGACTTAGATTTATTTAATTGTAGTCCGTTATCGCGTGATATGCAGGATCCTTGCGGCGTACCTCTGCCTACATATTGAGGGCTAGATTTTGAACCGCCGATCACAACCTGCTGTACTCTCTCGGAGAGGTAAGATTTAACCCATGAGCTGCTGGACCTCTAACGCCCATATTTTCCAGTTTTTTTAAGAGCAGGCTGTGATCGACAGTGTCGAATGCGCGGCTCAAATCAAAAAATAAGCCTAATGTGGCTGTTTTGTTATTAAAGCTATTATAGATATGACCCGGAGCTGTACTTGTGGCGCGGTTGGCTCTGAATCCGTTCTGAGCATCAGAAATCAAAGGGTCGAGAAGTATTTTTAAAAAATTAAAAACCGCACTTGCAGGGTATCGAGAAAAAAATCATATCTCCAAGACGGTATATACGATTGAAAAAATTATTTAACCACACGATGCGCAACATCCGGACCAAAAACCTTTCTTCTAGATTATTTTTTAAAAATGTACAGGGTGCGTCGATAATTTGCAAAAAACTGAAAATTGGTCTCCCTTTGTAATGATAATTGACCATAACAAGAAGGCTGTGATTCTGTTGCCAGTTTTTTCACACAGCTATAGAGGCCGTATGGACAGCTAAAACTTTTGCATTTAAAGTTTTTACATACTGTACAGGGTGATCCGGATATTCCGTACTATATTCAAAATGTCATAAGTGACCCAAATATGTAGTTATCGGTTTTAAATTTGGCAAGGAACTAAAAGTCCATACCCACATCTACACGGTAGAATTTGAGAGTAATCAATTATCACCAAATATTTTTTTTAAAATTTTGAAAAATTTTCTTTGAATATTTAGGTTTCCAGAAAAACATAATTTTCTCAAAAACTATTCAACCGATTAGAAAAATTTTATAACCAGGAAATGCGGGAGATCCAGGGCTCTCACCCCTATTTCGAACATTGTTTGAATTATATACAGGGTGTGTCGATTATTGGCAGAAAATCTAAAAGTTCCTTAAAATTTCCGTTTTTGTGGGTCAATTATTGGCGATAAAAGAAAAACTGCTAAAGATGGGATAATTTGATTTGAACAGTATCGTAAATTGTGTCGAGAGAGAGTTTCAGGTTTTGTGAATTGTACAGGTCGTGCGAGATATTTGAAAAAGTATCATTCGATAACGCTTTTATTTGTACAAATTTTAATATTTACCGAAGATTGCCGTAACTTTGAAGTTCGAAGAGATGTGAAGGACACTTTATACAGGATGTATTTACAATAAAATGACATCGATTTTGCGAAAGTTCCATTGTTGTCCGCACGAGCACGATAGAAAAGCAATGCGTCCCTCAAGGACAAAATCCCCGAATTGGCTTCCTTTTGAAATTAGAATCTGGTCCGCGAATTTTCCCCGCTCAACGACCATTTTTCGAAAGCAATCTTGTTATTGATTCGTTTGCCTCAATTCAAGACCCAAACATTGTCTAAATGCATATCGAATTTAACAAACATTTTAGCACAGTATTGTGACTTGTAAATTCATTCAAGGTCGCAGTTTAGTTAAGTGTACACTGTATGCCAAATAAAAGGACGCACTATACGATCTGGAAAACCATAGAAGTGTCCCCTCCAATATCAACTTTGTTATTTTATATGGAACAACTTGTATATATCGACATTTTTGGAATCATTCATTAAAATAAAGGTCACTTTCTTGAGAAATTCCTATTCGAATTTTGCGTAGTTTAGGCAGAAATTGAGGTTATGTGTTTTTCTTTTATATTTTGATTGCCCCAAATAAAATTGTGTTGTGACGCTACGGATCCAGATATTGCAACGAAAATTTAACCACAGACTAAAGATATGATGCAATACTCAATCAGTTTGACAGATGCTTCTCAGCTTATACAGGGTGTCGCCGTTTTGACGAATTCAATTAACAAAATCATAAGATTTTCAAATGGAATACCCTATATTTTTATTCAGATATCAATTCTAGGATAAAAAATAAGGTATCTTATATTAAATTTTTTCTTATTTTTTGAGATATTCGAGGTTTAAGATAAAACCCGTATAAATTCTTATTGAATTAAAAGCTGCCCACTTGTTGGCAATATAAGGTATTTTTTAAATAGCAAAGACAAGATGCTACTTCTTTTAAAGATATAATTCTCCAGATATACGAATAAAACCGGTGGATCGTTTTATTTGGCACACGGTGTAGAAATTGCCCGTGCTAGTCGTGCATTAAGATTCAATAGAAGGCGCCCTGAAGGATGTAACGCGCAAACAATGTATTCGTATTTTGTTATCGACTGAGAACTGTGCTGTCGGATGTAACGGATATACTTAAATTTTAATTGCTTATATAAAATAATAAATTAAACAAGGCCGATACGGAGGTACAGCCTGGTAAATATTTTCCCTTTTGAGTGTAACGTGTAAATTGTTTAATTTAAATATCGCAAAAATCATGAATCGATAGGTTAATACAATACGGTTTTGAAATATTGCAAACAGCATCAAAAACGTTTTTGATGCAAGGGCATGCGCATTAGTTTCTCTTTTAGTGATTTTTCTATTTCTCCCTATATATTTTTTTTCAATTTGTCACCTGAATCTACTATGTTTAACCTCAGAACATAACCCTTTACAGTCATTTGATGTATACTTTTTCTTTACAATTTACGTACGTTGGCCAAGGCGACTAGAGTCACTCGCCCATTGCCGCCTTTCGTCGAGAATTTATGAACCTACGATCACACACACACACACACACACACACACACACACACATAGGTTATGACTTGATATAAAAAAGAAATAAACTCTGGTTCCAACCTGAATTTTGACCGATTCAATTTCATTCCGGACACTAACCTGCCCTTTGCGCCATTTTCTTTGTAAACAGCGACACACACACTGAACTGCTGTAGCCAAACTTATTCACAGTCTGTCAGCGGCCATGTTGGTTGTTGAATGCCGCAAGATCACGAACTAAGTACTCGCCACAGACTACGGAAACAAAATTCGCTGTAAACCAATGAGGCGATGGACCAAGGAAAATGGCCGCAAATTCGATAGTTTTTGAGTTTGTATGGGGCATTTCTCGTTAGTAATTTATCAAAACATGACCACATCGATTGAATTTTCGTTGTTTAAAAAGAAAATGCCGTAAAGTGCAGTTTCCAGTATGAAAATATCATGGTGCATCAATTTTACGGTATTTGCGGCGCCTATTGCTGCTTGGGCTTAGGCTTTTACAAGATTAATACAGTTTATTCATTACAGGGCGGTGTTCAAGTTTGAAGGGCCGCAAATCAAATGCTCAGCGAAAGGATCGGATTTTAAACAATTCCAAAGTCAATTCAGCGAAGACGAGAGGGCGTTCGGATACATAAGGGTGCAGACCGGCGACGAAATGTCCAAAAGGCAAAAGTTCCTTTTGCTCACGTGGGTAGGTCCTTCGGTCAGCGTTTTGAAGAGGGCCAAGATGTCCACCGATAAATCTTTGATAAAGGATATTGTTTCCGTGAGTATTTATAAATTTGGATGGATATTGTTGTAGGTGATACGGATGACTGACTTCTATATCGACTTTCCAATATTTATCAAAGATAAAACGGTTGTTGCGACGAATTTAGTCGCATGCACTCGTTACTGAATTAAATTGCGATAATTGTTCGCCTTTAGGGTTATTGAATGTGACAAGCAGGGGATTGATGTCGTTTTGTTATTCTTCAAATATGGTAAAATAAACTGGCGACGGATGTATAGGGTTACGAGATTATATACGAAATGGCCTAATACAAAGTATTCTATTTAAATAAGTTGTCCGTGAAAATAATTAAAGTTACTCATAACGAATAATAAAAAAATTTTAGTTTACATTTGATAATAAAATAACCACATGACTTGTAACATTTTTTTTACAAGTTTTTGATCATATCGTATTTAGTAGTTTTTTAAATATCAAGATAGACCACAAAAGTCCCGTTTAACATCAAATTCAGAAACGGTAAGACTTGTATATATGAGATTATATACGAAATGGCTTAATACAAAGTGTTCTAATTAAATAAGTTGTTAGTTGTCTATGAAAATTATATAATTGTTTTATATATTTTCCCTAAGTGTTATATTTACTATGAGTATTTTGTCCATTACTTAGTTTAAATTGGATAATAAAATAACGACATGACTTGTAACATTTATTTTACAAGTTTTTGATCATATCGTATTTATTAGTTTTTTAAATATCAAGATAGACCACAAAAGTCCGTTTTGACATCAAATTCAGAAACGGTAAGACTAGTATATATAAGATTATATACGAAATGGCTTAATACAAAGTATTCTATTTAAATAAGTTATTAGTTGTCCATGAAAATAATTAAAGAAACTTTTTTTTACAACTTTTTTTATATTTTTTCAGGGTTTGAGTTAGTACATATTGAAAATGCAGATTTTACATTCAACACCATGTATCTTCTCTCCCTATTCTCTTGACTAATCCCAGTTCCAACAATTTCTCTTACAGTTGACTTCGGAACTTTGGACATATGACTTGTTTTTATTGTTGCTTCTACTTCCCATTCTGATTTCTTATAAAGTTGTTTTTTTAGTTGCTGAGGTAGTTCCTCTTCTAAATTGTCATTAGGTTCGACTACCATCTCCACTTCGCCTTCAAATTCTGCTTCGTTTTTCATGTCTTCTTCTAACATCCGCTTCATTCCATGGTCTCCACATTGTAAAATGTTAAAAAACTTCAAAAAATGTTTAATTGTAAGATTCTAATAAATATTTATCTGTATTCTTATGACGTACCTTTATATACCGCGAATATAAGCTATAGTCCTAAAAAATACTTTTGTTGTTTGCAAATCTAAGAACAAATTTAGATAAAACTCTTAAGAACGATACATATCACCTGATGTTAAAATAAACGCTTCTAGTTATTCGAAAATACCCCGCAGCGTCAATTGTTAATCAAATTTACGTTTCATATAAAAGTTTCTACAAATATTCGTTACGGTCCATATCAGGCAAGATCTAATTAATGCAGAATATAACCGTCTATGACGATAAACGTCTTTAAACATCTCCCAGGTCTTTGACAGTGAATTATTTTCACGGGACGTATGATATTCATACCTGGCATCATACCTAAACTTAAATTTAATTGATTAGCTTTCACAGTTTGCAGTTTGCATACGCATTAAATATTGGAATTCTTGAAACTATACTATACTGTATATCGAAACTATGCTTTTTTGACCTACGTATGTGTTTATATTAGCTTTTTGTTTGTTTAGAATATATTCTAAAATATACTCTAAAATGTGAAAATGGTTTTTGGTGATCCAATGTTTTCGTTTATCTAGTGATGTACAATATATAACACATAATTTTTTTACTAGGGTCTAACTTGTTAAAATGTGTGCCCCAATTTCCCTTTGCGAGATGTTAAAGTCCAATCAATTTTTTTGTTGTATAGAAAAAACTTGTGACCTAATATCAATTTCAGAATTTCGCCATAGAACTCCAAACCGAAAATCTAGCCGATTTAGATCTGGATTATTTCGTAGCGGAACTAAACAAAGCCGGAGGTGCGAATTACGGCACCGGAATCAGAGAAAGTTAAAGAGAGAAATTGTAAAACGTCCGGATTCTTAACATAATGATTTGATTTAACCGGTAACGTTCTCAACGCCATATTAGAAGCTATGTATTTATATGTAAATAGGATTTTTACTTGTACGGTTTGCACTACGATCCTTCGTCGAAGTTGATCAAAACGCGATGCTTGAACTACGATACTTTGAATTTAGATGTATTATTTTATTGTCGAGTTAAGTGTGGGTTTATTATTATATACATATTGTGCATTATGCTTTGTGATTAGATACGTCCTATTTTAATCGGGAAGTCATCTTTCCTTCATTTAGTTTTATACTCGTAAGTAACTTTCCGTTTATAATATATTTCCCAGAATTTTACCAAATATATATAATATCAACAAAAAGTCTGAATATTTCATTTTTTCCATTTATTCGAGCTTCTCACCCCTCTGAATATCCCCTCTCACTCTTGAAATCATTTTAAATTTGAGGCAAAATATCATAAATCCTCTGACCAATAACTCATTTTATTATTTTTCTTGAAAAAAGAGGACATTAAATAATACATCACACGAAAACGCTTTATGACATCACCGTCAGTCGGTGGAAATTGGTAAATACTGTTACCAATGCATTCTACAATAAAACTCCGGCAATAGTCGATAATAGGCCAATGGCCTTAGTTAATTGAGTGCGAGACGGAAAAAAAGAAGAAGAAGCATTCTATGGTATGGTGATTCCGTTTAATGTACTTTGAACAAAAAAGAACTTCAGTAGTCGATAATGGGCCACTCTCCTTAGTTGAATTGCCCACGGGACGGAGAAAGAAAGAAGAAGAAGCATTCTATGGTATTGTCATCCTTTTTAATGTACTTTATAGCCAAAAATAAGGTTAATCTTTTTGATCTGATCTGTTGACCAATGATGAAGAATTACGATGAGTCAGGGAGGAGCTACAAATAAACGTAAATGTAAAATGTTTTAAATTGAAGCAATAGCCGTTGGCCGCATCTTACATGGAGAAAAGTATCAGCTTCTCTTGCTGATTGTGAGGGGGAAAATAGACGGCAAATGAGGTGTTGTATTAATCCTTAACGTTAGGGCGATTTGGCACGGCACTTATAGAAAAAGAAAGTTTTTTCTATATGAAAAAGAAAGTTCATTCTTCTTCTTTTTTATGGAATCAGTTCTCTAGAAAAAAGGTTATGTAAATGCCGGACAAGTTACTTCGTTTATTATGCTCGACATGGCCGTATTCGCATCAGAATTCGGTATTGTCAAGCTAGTGAAATTTATTTATGTTTTTTTTTACTACAAACGCCACAGGTGTAACAAAACCCAATTATGAGGTCAGCGTCCACAGCATTAGCGAGTATATACACATCAAAATAACATAAAACTAGGTGTATTATAATTATAGGTGTATTATATTATTATAATTTATTTGGTACTTTTTCAACGGCATAACATGAACTATATATTACACTGGTTTACTTTAAAATGCTTCTGATATATGCTATATAGGACTACAGCTACTTAATAGAGTTTCAATTTTTAAAGCCCCTACAGCGTCCTACAAGGACCCCGTACATAGTGGATGCTTTTTTGTGTTATACAATCTACACGTGTTTTCAACGATAATTGAAGAGTGGAAATGTCAAAGGGGGTATGTGATATTTTTTTTATATATTAACATTTTGCGTTAGAATTATTGTATGTGCCTAGCGTAATAATTAAGTAACATGCATTTGCCTTCTTTTAACGAACACCGGCAATTATAACGATATCGTAAGTGATAAGGTTCAAAAGTAAAGCAAAGATTTTGAATTTCACATTTTAATTTTTTCAAATTTTCCTCACTTGCAATAAAAATTGAATTTTAGCACATATTTATTTGTTGCATAAGCTGGAAATACATATTCTATTACAACTCAGGTACCATCCATACAAAAAGAATAAGATACTCCAAATTATAAGCAACATCTGTAAGCGTTTACTTTGTTCTTGGTCGTTTAGTTGAGTTTTCAGGTGAAAATGCGATTTCCGGCGCGATAGATTGTAGGAATGGTCGCTTACAATAAGCCCCAAACAAAGTAACCAGCAGAGCCACACCATAGCCAGTTGCTCTCTCACCCTAAAGAAAAAACTATGTTATTGTTTGATTGTTCCTTAATTTTAAAAAAACAATGCATACAGGGCGTCCGGAAATAATGTTCGAACAACGTAACAGGTGATTCAAAAAAAAATATGTTGAGTTCAAAATCATGTAACTTGCTTTTTAATTTTGTTTATCTTAAACATGCCGGACATTTCAGTCAATGCGACAACAGGGCGTTGTATGCGAAACCGGCAAAGTCTACGTTTCTGCTAGACCAGTAACAATTTTGTAGTGCTACGGGGTAGACGTTCACGGCATGGGTCGCAATGTGAGAGACAATCCATTTATAGTAAAGAAAAAATTCAATAAATATTAAGTGATTGAGAAAACGCTTGTATTATTGAACAAACAAAATATAAAAACACTTTCCCAACAGGGGTCCAAAATTGCATGTAAACGGATTTTGTTGAAATTTCTTAGTGTTGTTGCGACCAGAGGCTCGTTTATTATTAATTAAATTAAAATTATGCAGAGTGCAGTGGCGTCTGACTTTACCAATTTTTTTCCATGTTAAACTAAAAATGAAACTTTTTAATTTTTTTATTGTTTTGATTTTTAAGAAAAAAAAACAACTTCAATATTCATAAAGATAGACAATTGCAAAATGGTGATTCTAAAAAAAAGTGGAGATATGTAAATAGTAAATTAGATGGTAGCACAAATAAGTGAAATAACGATAAATAAAAAATTCTTGGCCTAACCACAGTACTGATTTTTTTACACCAGACCGAAGCTTAAGGGATGACCTTGATAGCAAGTTATCTGAAAGCTAAACGCCTAGTTATAAGGGTTAATGGTATTAAGAGACAGCAAGTTAAAACAAATGTTGGAGTTCCTCAGGGCTCAATACTTGGACCGATATTGTTCATCTTATATTTTTGCAAAATACCTTAATAAACTGGTACTCAACGCAGATGGCTTTGATTTGTCTCTTTTGGAAACCGCAGAGACTCTGTACCACAAGATTAATAGTGTGAATTCGAAAACAGTTACAACAGTAAATATCTAGAAACAATTACTATAATTTAAAATGGGATGCTCACGTGGCTAACACATTAAAAAAAAAGAACAAATACTTAGTATATGTTTTTTATAGAATACCAACAAGAAAGCAGTTTTTACAAATCTAACCTTTTCCATAGTCTTGCTGTAGTATGCAGTGATAGGCTACACACTGTTTGATACGTTAGATCGGGTTCAGAAACCTATTCTTAAAATTATTGGAGTAAAAGAACAAGATGCAGATTGAACACTGAGTATCGCGCTTGTAGTGAATTCACTAGTGTATCAATATACTGAATTAAAAAATGAATAAATACAAAATCAAATGAACACTCGTAATAAAAGTGTATTATGCAGTAAAATATTTTAATTAATTTAATTAATTACCTAATGCACTGAAAAATCTCAATATGTCAACAAAAAAGTTTATGAAACTAGTTAACTACAATCGAATAAGTAAATTCGGATATAGTATATCCGTTTATTGTTAACACTCAGTTATAATGAACACTTTTTAAAATACACTCAAAAAGTCTGATAAGACAAATGTAAATTTTAACTGTTATAGTGAAGGAGGACATAGTGAACCTTCGAATACAGTGAACTAAAGTTCATCAAGATTAATATACATTTTTCGTTTTTAATGAACTTTTTCGGGGGTTCACCCGGCAAAGGTTAAAATACATAGCACGTGTGATTTAGATTTGGTGGAGAATATTGCTGACAGACCTTCAAATGGAGAAGCAAAAACGAAAAGCATTAATTTAAAAATTAAAAGTATGAAGCAAAGTGATATTTGGCGTGAAATGAATTTGTTTAAAGCAACTGTCTCCATTATCTGGAAAAAGAAAAAGGTAGGACTCTCTTGTCCCATTGCCAAGTGAATGCAAGTTGTAAAAGGCTCAGAAAATCAGCTCATGAAGGCGTCAATAAGGGAGTTTTACAGTGGTTTACCCAAAAAAGAAAAGAAAATGTTCCCATAAGTGGTCCAATTCTTCAGCAAAAAGCAAGTGAAATGGGAAGTAGAATAGAAGGACTAGATTTTGTGTATTCCAGAAGTTGGATTGAAGGTTTTAAGAAGAGAGATTGTATATCTGGAGGACAAATTGTTGGCGAGTCTGCATCAGTTGATATGAATGTCGTTGATAACTGGCTCGCAACGGTTTGGCCTGATCTTTGCAACAATTATGACAGTGACAATATTTTTTAAGCCGATGAGACCGGCATTTTCTACAAACTAACCTCTGATAAGACATTGAAATTCCAGTTCTGCTTACTACAAACATGTCTGGGACAGAAAAGAGATTTATTTACAGAAGAGCTGCTCTGATGGGTTACAGAATTGAAGAAGAACAGAAAAATTATTCTTCAAGTAGATAATTGTCCAACATTCCATTGAACCAAGTCAAACTGGTTTTTATGCCTCCCAATACCAGTTCAAAACTGCAGCCCATGGATAAAGGCATCGTAATGAAGTGTCACTATAGGAAGATTTTGCTGATAAAGATGATAGAAGCAATTGATGATGGACAAGAGATATTTTATTCACCGTGCTTGGCAGGAAGTTATCAAAAACACTATTGCAAACTGTTATAAACATGGAGGATTTTTTGAAACAGAAGATGATTTTGACTCTGATAATGAATTGCCTCTAACGAAGAAACATTTAGAAGATCCCGAAAATACCGCCCCCCAGAAAGCCCTTGAAATATAGATTAGGAATAAGATTGAACATTTCGACTTCGAATGTTAAGTTTCAACGGACGATCCCAACCGAAACGTAGACAGAAGACGAAATTACCCAGTTAGCGTCTATAACAAGAAACATAACGTTAAAGTCATGACTGATTTATGTTACTTTTTTTCAGAAACAAATGCAGAATTGAGTGAAGATGAGCTGAAGGAGGAGACTATTGAGGAAGTAAAAAATAATAGAAATGAGAAAGTGTGGAATTCTTTTTGTAACCTTGAACGCTATATAAGTAATATTAACTTTTCTGACAGACTCGTACAAACTGAAATATCTGACTTGTTTATCCAAGAGTAGGTGAATACATGTATTTACCCCCAATGGATCCTTTACTGTGAAAGATTTTTGTATGTAAGAGGAATTTATGGTCATAAATATTATTTATTGCATGGCCCCAGTTGGCAACACAATCTAATCATTAATCTCTTTGTTATGGAGCAGTTTTACAAGAGGCTAGCTTATCCATAACTAGATTAACATTGATAATTTTTTTTAAGTTTGACGCCCTGTATCTTGGAAAATTGTAGGACCCACGGTTTATGCGAGACAATTTTTTTATTTTTTCACGCGGCAAGCTCGAAAACTTACACTGTGAACGGGATAAGCAATATCCACGTGGATCCATGTACCGGAGTAGTCGAAACCCAAATGGGACGCAATAAATAGACCTGCGCAGCTCGACTGCGCATTGTATCTATCCGCAACCGAGTTTTTCATGTCGGCAATCGCGGAACTGAATTCGCAGAAATGCAATTCCGGACAAAACGGTATCGGGAATACGAGGTCGCCTGAAGTTAGACCCGCTTCCATGAGTAGGTCTTCCCACTGTCCATTGTTGGTCAGTACTGCTGCGTGATATTTACCAGTAGCAATACCCTTAAACAGAAATAATAAGTAACGGATAATATAATAATATAATATTATATAATACTTTTAATAATATACAGTGAAAACTCCCTATAGCGAAACTCTGTATAAAGTACAACCCTGTATTAAGAACAAAATTTGTTGTACTATTAGGCCTCCATACAAAACCATGTATTAATCCACTTTGTATGACGAATTTCTGACTCTCTATACCGAAAGAAAAGTGTTTTTCTCGTAATAAGCGATTATGTTAATGCCTTTGTCGGATGTATAGAAGCACACCATTGTTTCAATCACTTCTAATTTGACTTGGTGAATAAATAAAGAAAAATAAAATTTTATCTCTAGATGATAAAGTTGCTTTAATTCGGGAGATAGAACGGGGAGAAAAGAAAAGGGATGTGGGACGTCGATTCGGACTTACACCGTCGACTGTATCCACGATTTGGAAGTGCAAAGGCTGAAGCGGCAGGCAGTTCTAGTAAAAAACTAAGAAAGTCAGAATTTGAAGATTCGAATCGGGCAATGTTGCAGTGGTTCCAACGGCAACGTCTTAAAAATGTACCACTTTCTGGACCTATCGTAAAACTAAAAGCAGAAAAGTTTGCTGAACGGCCTGGCATTATCGATTTCAAGGCTTCGGAAGGATGGTATAAATTATGGACAGATAAGTAGCGAAGCCCTTGATGTCGACAGAAACGTCACTAACGATTGGCTGGAGAAGACGTGACCAAAACGAGCAGAAAAGTACGACTGACGAAACTGATATTTTTTACAAAATAGCGCCAGATAAATCTCTTAAATTTCGAAGCGAAAAGTGTGTGGGTGGAAAACTTTCTAAAGAACGTATAATAGTATTAGTAGCTGCCAATATGAGAGGGAGCGGAAAAAGAAATCTAGTCGTGATTGGAAAATGAACTAACCCACGATGTTTTAAGAACATGAAGCATTTATAAGGCAACCAAGTCTGCACGAATGACATCGCAAATTTTTGAAGAGGATATACGGAAATGGGATGCAGAATTGAAGGGGAGAAAAATATTACTTTGCTTAGATTACCGAGACAGAATACGAACAATTACGGTTACAAGTAAGGAGTTGCAAGGATTTGCCTGCAACAGCAGACTTGACAGAGGAAGCCATATTACAACAAGCAAGAAAGGATGAGGAAGAGCACCGAGAGGAAGAAGAAGATGAAGAAGTTGATCTGGGACCACCACCAACCATTCAACAACATATTCAGTTAAGCTGCTAGGGAAGACGCCCCTCTGGACGAAACGGTGAAAATACAAGCCAAAGTACGAGAAGCGTATTGGCATTCTAAAAAAATGACCGATTCACACATATGCGTATTGTTATTTTTCAAGTGGCTATAACTCTATGTAACAAAAAAAAGGCTGTCCCTTCAATTTCGCTATATAGAATTTCGACCGTATATTAAAATAGCTTTGTTTGTCAGAAAGTTTTAACCCATATTACCTGTGCCCCAGTAAGAGTGGCCATGTCCAATATAATATTAGCTTTAAGGTCTTGGTTAGCATAGGCGACACCGTCTGCCAACACGAGGCGACCTTCGGCGTCGGTATTATTTATTTCTACGGTACTTCCCGAGTACAATGTATGAATATCGTCAGGTCTAAAGGTAAATACAATTAGAAAATTAATATTTTAATCCTTGTACGGTAACACACCTGGTTGCGTTTGGGCCTACGCCGTTTTCCGCTAGGCAAAAAACTGCGTGAAGATTTTCTGAAAAATTCGATTTTACTGCAGCGTAAAAAGCGCCCAAGATGGCCGCCGCCCCTCCGCAATCTCGTTTCATTCCTGGCATAGCGGTCTAAGACACAGTAATTACCAATATCATTTATTTTTGTCATCAATCTCATTTATTTACGTTATTTTATTTATTAACGATAACAGCTTTTTATTATAAAAGGAAAGAACTTCGCAGTTTCGTGTGGTAAAGGAACGCAATGTTTTTCTATCGTGCTCCTGGGGACCACTATGAAACTTTCGCAAAATCGATGTAATTTAATTGTGTTGTGCATGCACCCTGTATAAAATGTCCTTCGCAAATCGTCGAATTTCAAAATTACGGCATATTTTTTCAAATATCTCGCGCCCTGTATAATTGACGAAACCTGAAACTCTCTCTCGACACAGTTTACGATACTGTTCGAATAAAATTATCCCATCTTTAGCGGTTTTTCATTTATCTCCAAGAAAAACGGAAATTTTTAGGATCCTTTAGAGTTTTTGCCCATAAACGACACACCCTGTACATGATTCAAACAATGTTCGAAGTAGAGGTTATAGCCCTACATCTTCCACGTTTCCTGGTCCAAGAATTTTTTGACAATAGTAAATGATTTTTGGAGAAAATAAGTTTTTTCTAAAACCATGCATTGCGCCGTAATAATCAATGACGTCATCGCATCTTGACAGCCCCCGAAATAGCGATTTCAATATGGATTTTTTCAAATATCCCGTTTCAGACGATAGACGAAAACCGCAAATATAAGAACTGTAGCTCTTGATGCGGCCTATGACACTGTTTGAACCTATTAGCCATATTTTTTACGATTGTTGATTTGCGGCTAATAATTTACTCTGTAAAAGAACAATTTTCTAGATCTTTTAGATTTTTGCCTATAATTTTAAAATCCTGTACATAACCGAAATAACCTAAAAAATGCCTAAAACAAGGGTTATTGCACTAGATCTTCCGTGTCTGCTGGCTAAAGAATTTTGCCTATCGGACGAACGATTATGGAGGAAAAAATATTTTTTTAAAATACTTGGAAAAATTTGATCGCACCCAATTTCTACCGTTAAAATGTCACGGACTTTTACTTCTCTGCTAAATTTACACGGAATATTGAGAACACCCTATCAGATAGGGGAAAACCTTAAATGCAAAAGTTTTTGCTGTCTATACGGGCTATATCGAAATATAAAAGAAAGTGAGATCTGATTCACAGTTTTTCAGTTATAACCAATTTTCAATAATAGGGGGAGCCATTTTTCAGTTTTTTTGAATTTGAAATTGTATATTTTTGAAAAATTATCAAGGATAAAATTTTATGGAGCAGTATCTTCTGCGTCTTCTGGTTTAAATTTTTTTTGCTCTCTTAACGGTTTTTGAAAAATGATGTTTTTTGTAGACCCTTGCACACGCGACTTTTAATTTTTTTAGAATACTTCCCGACCCCCCAGCCTGTTCTGTCACGGGGCAAAGCTGCACATATGAGCCAAATATGAAGTCGATTGCTTCAAATTTCGGACACACACACAGACAAAAAAAATATCTAACAATACAATACAAATGTGGCTGCATATAAATTAATATTTTCTTTAAAGTATAAAGCACATTTTCTCTTAAACGACTTGACTGAGTTCGAATTCTTTACTGTAGAAGGTATTGAATAAGTCCACTGTGAAAAATGTCATTCTGGTCATAGCTATTGGGGTAACTGTAGGAACATAGAAGTCTGTATGTCTGTATTTTTTCATAAATGTTTGGGAAGCAAACTGTGTTTCCTTTTATATATGATGACAAATAAGTTGGTTTACACTTAATAATCCCGTCTATAAATGTGTGCAACAATGACATCCTATACAACGCATGGCTTGGTTTGGTTTTTTCAGAAGTAAGCTTTTCTCTTTCATATTGAGCAAGATCAGTATAGATGAACAGCAGTTAAACTGTGGTAAGATTATTGACTAGTTTAGACCAGTCACTAAGATATATGCTCATTCTTTTCAGGAGATTGCTTTTCTTTGCAATTTTACTGATTATGTATAACACCTAAATATTTGCACTTTTGTGTCTGTTCTATTCTTTCGTTATTTATACATATTCATTTCATTCATTCATTCATAAATTTTGTTTTTCCTATATTCAGACTTAATCTATTTTGCATCAGCCACTTATAAACTTCATTGAGGATTTGTACTACCTCATCAACATCATCTCCCATGTCGTTTATATACCCGATGAAAATATTCGGCCCCAACACCGTTCCCTGGGGTACACCAAATTGATTTTCCTTTTGCATTGATATATATTCAAAAAACCTTATTCCCTGAATACGGTTTAATAGATAGTTGACCATTTCAGCACTACATTCTGAATACCATTTTTTTTTTAATTTTTGTAAGAGCTTACACCTGTCTATTGTCGCAAAGGCTGTTTGAAAATCGAAGAAAATCACTAGTACATTTTTTATTTCACTCATAGCTTTTTTCCAATTCAATAAGACACTTTGCAATGCCCTTTCGCAGGAGTTTTTTTCGAAATCCGGCTTGGTGTTCACTTAATATTTTACTACTTTCGGAATATGGTATAAATTGCTTATTTACAACAACCTCTAATAATTTTTTGTACACTTGTGCCATATTTATAGGTCGAAATGCTTCATTTTTATTTATCTTCTTCTCTATGGCGATTATTGTAGACTTCTTACAGTACGGTAGAAATGTACCATATTGTAAACTATGATTAATTAATTGTAAAAAACTGTCCAGTTCACACTACTTTTAACTCTGTAAATGATAGTTGATCAAATTGTTCAAATTTGGTGTTAAAGCATTAAAGATAAGTAGCAATTTTTCAAAGAAACTTCCACTATTTACAATACTTCTGAAACTGGAACAGTTTTAGTTAAGGTGAGGAAATAAACTACGAGATTATGAAGCTTTTGAATCTAACTTTTTTTTTTTTTTACATTGTACAAAATCCTTAATAACTTGATGGTTTTCATATTTCTCCTATTAATGCAAGAAATAAGACTCTTTTTAACATTGATTTTCATGGCTTTAACTCGCCTATGAATCGAATGTGCAAGCTGACAAATCTTTTACTCACAAATATAGAGCATATTGATTTATTTCCTGACTCTCTCAGTCGTTTTAATTCCAAAGTAAAGAAGACTGTTTTTAATCAAAACTTGGTAGTTTAGCAACTGTAAGTGTTGGTTTTACTATTTTTCTTACGTTAAACTATGTGTAAATAAATTTTTCAATTTAAGCTCTGCAGAAGCCAACAGGACGATTGGCGGAACCTCAGCGAGTTTAATTCAACAACAACCGATGCAGGAGCAATCCAGAAGTTTTGTAAATAGTGACACGTAGCAATATCAATAATCTGCTAAACACTTGCCTTTCCTTTGATACTAAGTCCACCGGTATCATACACGATACCCTTTCCCACCCAAGCAATGGTATTTGTCGCGCCTTCTGGGGTATAGCTAAGTACTGCCAATGCCGGAGGGACTTTAGCTGCTTTACCGACTCCATATATCCCGCCGAAACCTTTAGTCTGCAATTCCTCATCACGAATGATCACCGGTTCTATAGCGAGGTCCTTGCCAACTAACTTTATTTCCTGAGATTAGCAGTTTATTAGGCATCAACAACGACAACAGAATTTACTTGCCTCCAAGAAATGATCAACGTTCATTTCATTACACGGGGTATCGACTATTCTCGCTGCCAGTCTTATCCCTTTACATGCATGTTCGAGGCATGCAAGTTGGTCCTCATTGATTTCAGTTTTGCCAGGAGGGCTATAACCATTTGTTGGCACAATTACAAATTCGACAGTTACTGTGTGCTCCTCTGAATTATCTGATCCTGCAGTAGTTTTCTTAGAATAAAGGGGAAAAGCTCTAGCAACAGCGCATGCACTGGCAAAGACATCGCTTTGCTCACAGACAATCTAAAATTTTGCCAAATTTCATGTATACTGCCCCTCCCCAGCCCACCCAAACAAAAAAATTGACATACCACAACAGATTCACTGGAATCCCCGTAGGAAGAATTTTGAACAATTTTTGTTATCGAATGTGCCCTCGAAGGTGTATTGTGGCGGCTACATTTTACTGGTAAGGCTGCAACGGTGGCATAATTTAAGTAAAGAGAACGAGTATCTGTAGGAGAAGGATGCAGACTGGAAACGGCAGCCTTAAAGACTTCTTCGGAAACTCTGGGTTGCAATATTGACTTTATATCGTTAAAACGAAGCTGGGTAAGATGTTTTACTTGACCTATTATTAATACAGGCACTAACTGGGGATCTGTTTTTGAGAGTTTTGATTTAAATACCAGTTTAGTCATTGTTTACACCTTTGCTAAAAAGAAAGAAACGCAAGCTGTAGAGAAATACCGTGCCTGAATGACTTAAAACTGATAAAAAAATTTACAAAGCCCTTGAATATTAGCCCTTTATTTTTATCGTCTCTTTTGGTAGACGTCACAGAGGTAGGGTTTATAAAACAACCACTGAGTATACAAGATCCAACAAAAATGCTAAATTTCCGCAAAAATAAAATTCTGTTTATGGTTGGCACTGAATTCTAAAAATTCGAACTTTTTTTGATTAGCAAACGTGTTCCTTAAACATATTTTTTTCAATCTTCAGTACTCTTCGTCTTTTCACTTCTAATCATCAAGTGCGATAGAATCATTCGAACACAAAGAACTTGTTCAGTGTTTTCTTTCTTGCGAATTACCGCGTTCGGACTCTAGGCAATTAATGTAATAAAAAGTAAAAGTTTACTACTCACAAGGGCTTTATAAATGTGGATGTGAGACCCACTATGTCTCTCAAGTCAAAGATTTCGTATTAAGCCCGGTTGCATCCTGTGTTTCTGATTATATTTTTACTAGGTAAAAGTTGAACGGAAACAAAAAAAAAACAAAGTAGTGTAAAATAAAGTTTTTATTGTAATAATAACAATAATCCAAATTTGTTATAAAAAATTCCAATCGGAAGTTGAATTTTTTTCAAGCTTACGTAACGTCAACGATAAACTTGCGCAGAAGAGTTGAAATTTTCTGAAAAACTAAACAGGCTTGAGGATTAATCTAGAAAGCGGATCGAAGAGATGAGATGAGATGAAGTTTGAATTTCCAAACACCTTGCACCTATCTACAACTAAGAAATATCGGTAATATCGGTAAAGAGCAAATTCCCGCCGTAGGTTTGGCCAAAATTTATGTTAAATGTGTAAAGAAGAAAAAAGATTTGTCAATGCAATTTGTTGTTCTATGGGTTAATACTTCGAGTGGAAAACAAAAACTTAAAATAGAGCAAAACATTAATTAAATCACTATTCCTATTTCTCATTAATCTGATCCAATGGTAAAATGGGTAGGAGTATGGGCCTCTATCAGTTTCTTAAGTGGTTGTTTATTATATTATTCTATTTAAATCTTACTTTGGGTAAGAATATTCTCTGGAAATGTATCTCCTAAACAAATGTATTGTATTCTAGCTGAAATTCAGAGAAAACCTCAGTTGAATGAAGAATCTGACGACGATGATTCCAACAACGAAAATTTAGTCGGGGAAAATTCTCGAGGTTTACATTCTGGACAAGCCACAGGTTTTAAATGTTATTTTTGTGAACCTCCCAATTGTTTGCATGAGACAATCTGCAAAAATGCAGTGCAGTGTTGGAAATCACGAGTTCGAGAAAGTTCAGGTCTGTATTTAGTATTTATTATTAGAAATATTTATTCAGATGTAGCTTTAACAATGCATTTTGAATGTGAATAATTTCTGTAGGACAAGAAAGTGTATCCAGGGGTTGCACTTCAAATTCTGATCATGTCATTTTCATGTGCAAAACTCCATCTTTTACCGCACCACACAAAAGACATGCTAGTGGCCAATATAGAGTAGACTGTTGTGAAGGAGATTACTGTAACAATGGTAGCTTCCCTGAGTTGCCCCCAATTTTTGAAGAAATTGTTAATCCATACTATGAGCCTTTTATATTTGGCTTGAAAATGGTAGCAGCAATTTTAGGACCTGCCGTTGTTTTAGGGACTTTGGGCTTGGTTGTCTTATATTTTTTAAGGAAAATGCATAGAAATAGACTGTTTGCAGAAAGCAGGTAAAATATTTATTAAATGTTTTAAGTATTATGGTTAATATGGATTTCATAGGTAGCTGAACTTTTTTTTTTTTTTTAGATTGGATTCAGAGCAGTATTACGCTTCAGATGATTTACTTAGAGCGACCGCTGCTGGCGACAGCACACTGCGCGAATACCTTGAGCAGTCAATAACATCGGGCAGCGGTTCTGGTCTACCGCTAATCGTGCAAAGGACGTTGGCGAAACAAATTTCATTGATGGAGTGTATCGGCAAAGGTAGATATGGAGAGGTTTGGCGGGGTGTCTGGCATGGGGAAAATGTCGCCGTCAAGATATTCTTCTCTAGAGACGAAGCCAGTTGGAATCGGGAAACTGAAATTTACAGGTTAGCCGTCACCTTTATATTAACCTTGGTCGTACCGTGTGGGGTACAAATGTACCCCAACCACTCATTTTTTCTTATATGTTTTTAAAAACTTTACACAAGGGTTCCGCAATTTTATTTATTGTCATTTAGTATTTGCAGATTGATTTTCTGTATATTTTAGTTATGAGCTGCATCAAAAAAGTCAACAAAAAAAATATTTTTAATGCGGGGTACACTTGCACTCCTATGATAAGCCAAGATACTCAATTTGACTAGTCCCGGTCATGCACAATACACTAAGTATTAGCTGGTGTCAGACATTTTTGATTTTTGGAATCATAGTGCTACCGTGAAATGTTACACAATGTCTGATAAAATAAATATTCCCAATCCAAATAAATTAACGGGTTTAGAGTTAGAACAATTACTGAATAACGATCTCAATGATGCTGAGATAGTGATGATGTTCCAGAAATGATAGATTTTGAAGATGATATAATAGAAGAAATAAATAATGGTGTTGCTCTAATGACTTGATTCATTTAGACTGTTTCCGACAGCCGAAATTATAGAAATAATTGTCCGACATACTAATGATAAGGTAGAATAGGTAAAGTTATCGAATTATATATTGCATTATTCACTAATAATACCTATCCCTGTCCAATTTTTGCAAACTTTCAAATTTTGGAATGCAAAACACCCTAATTAAACACAACCTCTACAACGCATATGGAAACCTACAGATGCTGTTGAAATAAAGGCATATATTGGCCTCATTAGGTGCCCTTCAAGCTTGAAAAGAAACCATAATAATGTTGTGGTGTACCAAGAGAGGTTACATTAGACCAGTTTTGACGATCCAAAAACAAGGGAAATCAGAAAGAAAACTGATAAGCTTGCAGCGATAAGGGAAGTTTTCAACATGTCGGTAGGGAATTTCAAAAAGTGTTATAATCCCGGAAGCTTTATTACAGTAGATGAGCAACTAGTTGGATTTAGAGGTTATATGAAAAGTAAACCAGATAAATATGGTCTGAAAATTTGGGCGGCAGCGGATAGTGAAAATTCATACACTATAAATATGCAACCATACTTGGGAAAAAATAATAATACAGTAGAAAAAAATTAAAGTCAAAGAGTCGTCATAGATCTTGTCGGAGGTCTAGGAACCGGATGTGGCTTAAGCACAGATAATTTCTTTACAAGTTTGTCCGTAACAGATCGATATTAGAGAAACAAATGACTCTTTGCGGAACATTACGAAAAAATAAATCTTATAAATCCATTTTTTCGTCAATGTTTGGTTTTCGGAAACAACATACGATTGTGTCCTATGTGCCTAGCAATTATGTTGTCGACGGACCAACATGATGACACATTATAATAAAAAAAATGGTGCTGTAGACACTATCGATAAAATATAAAAGAATATTCAGCTCGTCAAATTAGTAATAGATGACCGATGGCAATTTTTAGACAGCCATTTTTGTAGATGAAAAATCGAAAAGCAAAGACAGCAGACGAAAATTTCTTTTGGACTTGTGAGAGTCGTCGATTAGGGAAAATGTCATGAGAAGATTTAAAACAGAGCCAAGAATTCCCAACAATGTCAAATCGTATGTGCTAGAAATGTTTCCAGAATTGGAAAAGCACCATGAAATCCATTCCGAAGAACCCGAACGACATGTTTCTGTACGATGTTATTTGTGCAATAGAAAGAAAGATCGCAAGTCCAGGCAACAATGTTGCGACTGCAAAAAAAATTACATGCAATCACCATAGTGTAAAACAGATAATTTGCCGATTATGTGTGAAAAAACGTAAGAATTATGAGTAAAGGGGTTCGTCTACCTTTTTAACATTTTTGAGAATTGTTTATTTTGTTCAACTTTTTCAATGAATATAATATGCATTATACATATTTTATTTACATTAACTATTTAGTTTTGCTGTTGCAGTGTATATAATATGTTGCAGTCAAAGCATTAATTTAGTAAATGTATACATTTACTAGCCAATGCATACATTTGCTAAACTCCGTAGTTAAAGTGTTCATTTTAACCGAAATGAACACATTTGCTAGTGGATGTATGCATTCACGGACCGCTTCTAGGAAGCGGGTTAAATATTAAAATAAACCGGACAGGGATTTTCTAAATGCCAATGTAAAACAAAATGCACAACAAATAGATGTGCGTGCCTTAAAGCAAAAAAATTGTGCAATTCCAAATGCCATGGAAGTTTGAATTGTTCAAGCAAATAAAGTGTTTTTCTTATTTATAAATGTGTTTGTGTTTCAAATTATTTTCTTTCTATGTTAGGTGCTTTTGTATTTTTATGTTGTAACTAGCTCTAGTGCAATAATCATCGAGTCAATAATTAATTTAATTATTCGGTAAACTAAATTTTATTTTGAAATTCATCAATTAACGCTTTGACTGCAGTTGGTTAGTAACTGCATGCATTACCTAGTTAATGCATGCAGTTACTAGTTAAATTATTCATTCCAATAAAATGGTGTACATTGACTGGAATGCACACTTTGACTGCAACATATATACGAGAATTGTCGCATAAAATATCACAAAGCGTGCAAATTAGAGTGGGGTACAGTTGTACCCCACGTGGTGTTCTGCGTAACTTTTGACCGCGGTACGACGAAGGTTAATCTAACCAGTTGTATGATTTCGGTTTCTTTCAGTACTGTTCTGTTACGGCATGAAAACATTTTGGGGTATATCGCGTCCGATATGACGTCTCGGAATTCGTGCACTCAGCTGTGGTTGATCACCTATTACCATCCGCACGGCAGTTTATATGACTACCTGAACCATACCACCCTCAGCCATCAACAATTGATCATAATATGTTCGTCCATAACCAACGGTTTGGTACATTTGCATACTGAAATTTTTGGAACTCAAGTAAGTCTACTTTTCATCTTATATATAACAAATGTCCCGGTAAGAACAACTTTTCTTGAATTTTAAAACTTGGTTTCTGTAAAAATTTCTGATCTTAACCATAAGAACCAAAAGTTCAGATTTTCACGAAATTATATATTTTCACATGACAATTATTTCGACAACACACTGTCTTTATGAAATGTAATATTTACAAGCTACCTGCTACTCTATATATCGAAAAATGACATTAAAACCTTAATTAATGTTGTGAGAATTTAAGTTTAATAATGGGGAGGTATTTAAATCTAATTGATCTTTAAGCAATACATTTGAATTTCGTCTCATTTTGTCATTTTGTCCATGGCTTCCAATAAATTTAATTTTCTACTCTTTGTGGCTGTGAATGTGTTTTTTAGGACAAGATCCGCATTTCAACCTGGTAGACACCTGATTTTTGAGATTTTGGACATTTCGTTTTATTGTTTTTTAAAAATTTTCCCATTGCGTTGTTAGTTCTGAAAGCTATTTTGAAACCACATTTTGACAAATGTCTGGATTTGTTTTTTATTTATAATTTTATCGATAATGGACGGATCGGAGCCGTTGTTCAGTGCAATTTGTTTAATGATATTAAGTTCTTTGTTGTAATTTTCTGTTAAGAGTGGCGCATTAAGAAGTCTGTGTATAAAAGAGTGAAATGTAGCCATTTTGTGTGTATATGGGTGATTTGAGCTGTGTCCGTGTGTGAAGGTTTATGGTAAATGGAAAAATCTAATTTGTTTTGCGTTTTCGTAATATTTAAGTATAAAAAATTAATAGAGTTAACCTGTTCAATTTTATACAACAAAGAACTTAATCAACTTGCACTGAACAATGACTACAATCCGTCCATTTTCGATAAAATTATAAATAAAAAACAAATCCAGACAACACTAAACTCTATTTATCCGAAACCTAATACAGAACACGAACAATTTAAAACAATTACATACATAGGAGAACCCAGTGAAAAGGTTTCAAAACATTTGTTAAAATGTGGTTTAAAAGTTGCTTTCAGAGCTAACAACACAAAAGCAAAATTTTAAAAAACAATAAAACGAAATGTCCAAAATCTCAAAAATCAGGTGTCTACAGGTTGAAATGGATCTTGTCCTAAAATTTGTATTGGACAAACAGGTAGATCCTTCAAGACACGCATTAACGAACATAAAAGAGCGTTTAAAAACAATAGTCTATATTCTAATTATGCTGCACACTTAAACACAGAAAAAAACATTTTTGACGATAATTTTGATATTTTACATTCAACCACAACAAAGAGCAGAAAATTAAATTTATTGGAAGCCATGCAGATTAACAAAATGAGACATTCACATCAATTAGATTTAAATACCTTTAAATAACTTTTAGTTCTTATTAATTTTGTTAAATGGATTTTCATCAAATAAAAGCCACCTCAGTTCAATCTTAACCATAGTTAATGTGAGTACTGTTTTAAAGCTGATGCAATTTTTGGTCTTTATTTAATGCTGTTTGGTCCATCTCTGCGAGGAAACTGCCGGGGGGTCAATATTTTCTTAAATCAATCTCTATATCTCGTTAAAAAGGGCTTTCCTTAGACTACCATTCCGACAATCGCAATGAATTTAATGTTGATTTCGTCTCAGGGCAAACCGGCAATAGCCCATAGAGATATCAAAAGTAAAAATATCCTTGTGAAAAGCAACGGGACGTGTTGTTTGGCCGATTTCGGACTGGCGGTCACTCACACTCAATCGAACGACAAACTAGATATAGGATCTAACCCGAAAGTGGGAACCAAGAGATACATGAGCCCCGAAGTTTTGGACGAAACGTGAGTTGAAAAAAAAAAAAAAAACGTAATTCAATTTTCTATTGGCTGCTTCGTTTTTAGAATACACATGGACTATTTCGATTCATTCCGACGGGCTGACATATACTCGCTGGGGCTAGTGCTCTGGGAAGTGTGCCGAAGGACAGTTAGTAACGGAATAGCCGAGGAATACAAGCCTCCGTTTTATGACGTCGTACCTAGTGATCCCTCGTTTGAGGATATGAGGAAAGTGGTCTGCGTGGATCAGCAGAGGCCGAGTTTGCCGAATCGTTGGACTAGCGATCCGGTAAGTTTTCAAATATTTTTTCTTACGACTCTTATACTATACTATATTATACTGGGTGTTTTCTAATTGAATGTCAATAATTAAGAGGGCGGTTTTTGGGTCTAAGGCAGGTTTGTGTGCCCATAAATTGGTACAGACCTTTTAGACGTATCTAGTGAATTTTATTTGCGATTTTTAGGTGTTGAGCGAAATGTCAAAGCTCATGCGCGAGTGTTGGCACCAAAATCCCGGGGCCCGTTTGTCGGCCCTTCGTATCAAAAAAACGGTCCTTAAATTGGCGAGTTCCGAAAATTTGATAATTCTGGACGACCTGGAGGTGTGCGTGTGAGATGAGCTTGAAGTACACGAATTGATCGGAGGTTTTTTCATGTACAGAATTTCAAGTTTTAAGGTTAAAAGATCGTCGAACCGAATGAGTTCTGATAATGTCCATTGTCGAATTTAGGTTATGTTGTAAAAGTATGGAATAATTTTGCGGTTTGTGAGAAATCTGCCTCATTTGCTGTCGGCCATTGTGAAATTACAAAAATTTTGCAATATAGCGGCTCCGATATCGTTAATAATTACTAACAAATTTGACCGCTTCATTGATCCACACTTCTATCTCTTCGAAAAAGGATAATGAGGTAGATTGACTTTTTTTTTTTTTTCAAAGTAACTTCCACAGGCTACCGTAATACTTTCTACAAAACTTCTGGATTCCTCCTGCGCCGGTCTTTCCTGAGTCGAACTGACTGACGTTTCGCCAATCATCCTGCTGGCTTCTTCAGTGCTAAACTGAAACTGGCTCGCATTTTACGCTGTACCTGGTTATATATTGTTTGAGGGGGGTGGAGCTAAAACTTAAAAAAAAAAATCCGAGAATCTATAAGCAACCTAACAATCTTAACCGCGACTCAGGCCTTTACCTGTCTCCAATATGGGAACCAGTCATCCCTCAAACAATATATAAGCAGGTACAGAGTATAATACAAGCCTGTGTCAATTTAGCTCTGAAGAAGCCAACAGGATGATAAGCGAAACGTTAGCAAGTTCGACTGAACAGCAACCGACGCAGTAGGAAACCAGAAATTTTGTAAATAGAAGTAGATTGACTTTTTACAGTATTTAATATCGGACGACGGGAAAGTAAGACGATTAAAATTTGTGCCAATATCAGTCTAGCCCTCTCACTTATTTCCTCATCTTTACACTCTGCAGTTTTGGTGATTATACCATTTTGAAGTATCCCAGTGGTTAGTTAGTTAATTTGATTTATCAAAAACTTATCATAACTGTGTATAGAATAAATACACACATTCAAAATGCGGAAAAAAATGTCGGACCATTTTCAGTGGTCTGTCCGTATTTGCAAATAATTTGATATAATTTTCATTGATGGATTTTACAAAATTGCGGGAAAGAAGTCAAATTGGCAATTTGTCTGTCTGTATTCGCCACGTTAGGTTGTTGGAGCACACTCTATATTAAAAGTTATGCAATTTTAGCCCTTATTCTCTGAAAACAGTTCGCAATTTGTGTTTTCTTCCAACTTTCTTTTGAAAAATTTTCCAATAGGTATCTTTTCATCATTGGAACATTTCCGTATTATATGATTTTAAAGCAAAAATAATGAAATTTGCAGGATAAAAAATGGGTAAAGATCTTTTTAGGGAAATTTTTATTAATTTAATGTATGTCCATTTTCCCATGAAAGTTAGATGGTAATCATAGTTTCATTTATGTACCTGTTGTGAAAAAGGGCAAAGATTATATATATATATATATATATATATATATATATATATATATATATATATATATATATATATATATATATATATATATATATATATATATATATATATATATATATATATATAATGTTGTTAACTTTAACGAAGAATCTGATATCCGGGAACTATTTAACATTTTTATTTTATTATTGATGTTTAATGTTAATAGTTTATATAAGAAATAGCATTATTTTATTCTGATAAACGAAACAATGATCGTAAAGATGATCTCTTTAATTTAAAAACCGCCTTATATCCCCGCCATTTTTCACGACAGACACGACATGTCGAATATTGTAACAACATAATCAACTAGGGTTACCAAATAAAATGGAAAATTACATCATTTACATTTTTTTTATGAGGAATAAAGAATTAGCTCATATTTTGTAAATATTCGTTAGGATAATGTAATTTTAACCGAGAGTGAAGGAGAGGGGAGAGAGAACTATTTTAGTTTGTGTACTTTGTAAGACAATCATGTACCGTAATTTTCCTTTTTAATTTGTAAATTAAGTTTTCTCTACATGTAAATTAATTATTACATAAGGGAAAGTACGTAAGTGACGTAACAAACATAAATGTTCAGGTTATTAGTACATATTGTAATATTTAAGCGCTGTGACATCAGGCCATGAAAAACTGAATACTCATTTTTGTTTTCGGTAAATTTTTAATATAATTTTTAAAGGCAGGAAACGACCTTACAATACTTATTTGTAGTTTTTTATATACAATGTAAATATAAATATATCAACATCATATCCGTTGGAGAAAAAAAAGATGGTTTGAATCAAAATGTATAGTTAGTGTTTGATTCAGTCTGTTTTATGATTTGAAGTAACAACCATATCAATTCGTTTATCGGTTTAAGGAAATATCGCAGTCCTGTTTTATGATAATATTATGTTGACGATTACGCAATATATTCGTTTTATTTGTATATAATATTTTATGTCGGCATCGCAGCCGACATTTACTTGAGCAATATATTTAGTTTCGAAATGTGTGTTTTATTTAGGGAGCAAAGTGGAATTTTTAAAAAAACTAATAGGTTGCTTGCACATAATTTTTTTATTTGATAAAAATGTTTATTAGTAGATTTACATACGTGCCAAATATTATTTAAAAAATAAGTCAGAATAATTAGACACGAATTCAAAGTTTGACAAAATCGTTATGTAAGGTTCCCTTTAGTTTTGTATTTTTCATCTCTTAAACTTAATTTTATGGACAATAAAAAATAGGGGATAATAAAATATAAAAACTAATTTTAATTCATGGGAGTCTAAGTAATAAAAGAGACAAATCTGGAATTGCTTACCGTAAAAATAAAAATTGGAGTTTATCTTTGGTTGAAAGGAACAGGTTATAGATTTGTTATTACTTACAGGTAAAAAAGTCTAGATTTTTAGACTTAGTATTATTTAGATTCGCCTAAAACTAAATTAAACTGATTAGACAACAGTCAAGTACTGAAATCTGTTCAGGAACTATCAGCGGCCATATTGAATGTCACAACATCTTATTGGTCGAAAGCGACGTTTGAAATGCGCGTGCACATATTAAAGACTCGTATGGATGTGAACTAATGTACTGGCCTCTCTTCCTAAACAGCGATTTCCACACACAAAACTCCTTTCCACAGATAATTTAACGAGATCTAGGCTTATTGACGGTCTCTCAGCGGCAATGTCGGTTGTCGAATGTCGCGAATCATTGGCTAAAACTAAATCTCGCGCATGTGCATGTTGAATGGACCTCCATTTTTTTAGTTGCTTCATAAATTGCTGTATTATCGACATAGACAGCTATGTGTAAATAAAGCAACATTGTTTTGATATTCCCGTACTATCAGAATAAGTAGGACTTTTTCATGATAACTTGTATATGCTTTTTTCATGTATAAGTCACACCAAATTCAAATTTGTTTGCAATAGAAGAAAAAACGTTAAAACACAAGAGAAGTCCAATAGTAAAAATTTGAATTCGTTACCTAGGCGACCATTTAAATTTCGCTAAATAAAACGGCCATCAAAATAAACAAAGAAACTTGCTTGTTTTCTTTTCTTTTCTTGCCATCTTCACAAACTTTTTCAGTTCAACTCCAAAGAAGGCAACTGCAACTGGCGTCAACAGGAGATTTGTAAATATCTGGTATTTGTTTTTTATTTACTTAACCTTGTTTTTCTCAAAGAAACAAGAAGACTAATCTTTAATCCCAGCACAAATGAATCTTTAAAATACCATCCCTAACTACGCTTACTGTAAATATTAGTCTTTCATTGGAAGGAACAGGTTTTTATTTTTTATTATTAAGGGGTAATAAAAGTCAAGATTGCAAAATTCACAATTATTTGGATTCAGGTAAAACACCATCCCAATCGATAACTTGACAATCAAACCAAACATATTTTCCCTTAAATTCGGCTTGTAATGCTAAATATAGGGCGGCCTTTGCCCCTTCTTCTGTGGTCAAGGTTCCTTTTTTATTCATGTCAGTTTTCACATAACCGGGGTGGACAGAAGTAATGCTAATATTTCGGTAAGGTTTTTCTAAATCGAAAACGTGTTGATGAAGAATAGTCAAAGCATTAATCCCAACTTTGGATACAACATAGGGGGAGTCTCCCCAACCTTTTTCCACGGCCTTATTTTCCTTCACATCACTAAAAATGACTGAGTGAAGGAAACCAAAGTGTAGATATGCTTACGACTTTACTTTAAATATGTTTTCATCAATTCATTGAGAGATGCTACATTTAATTTAGGATCCTTGAATTTCGCTCTCAGTTCTGTTGATGGAATCCTCTGCAACCGTCCTGCGGAACTTGATATGTTTATCACTTTCGCATTGTCACGAAGCAGAGGGAATAATGCATTACAAACTCTCAATGTTCCAAAATAATTTATCTGAATAATATCTTCTGCACTTCCCTATCATAAAGATGTAATAATTTTTTAGAAACTAAGGGCTTTTAGTTACAAACCACGTGAAGTGTAAATTATTTGTGTTGCTTACACTTGTGCCAACTGAAGCATTATTTATGAGTAAATCGATTCCCCCATGTTCTTTTTCAATATAATCTTTAAGATCCTTAACACTCGTCTCACTAACAATGTCCAGTTGATGAAATAAAGGTAGAAATCCTATATGCTTTAGGTTTTCAACAGCTCGCTGACCTCGTGAGACGTCCCTCGCTGTAAGATAAACATCTCCAAAAAAATTTTCACAAAGACCTTTAACTATAGCGTAGCCAATGCCTTTGTTGCTTCCTGTCACCTGAAGTTACTTTCAGTTAATATAATAAACTTCTTAGGGCCGTAGCCAAAAATACACCTACCACAGCGACTTTTCGCGTTTGCATGTTCAGATTGTTTATAACGTGAATGTGTTAAATTATGAAAAATATAACGAAATTAAATACATAGTGGACTGCCACAAAATGTAACAGGCTAGAGACGCTTAACTTTAAATTAGTTTTCAATTCAATTCACAAAAAACTGTTGGGCACGACTACCAGGATCATTCGCCCATTGCCGACTTCCGTCGAGGATTTTCGGATCTTCTCCAGGACGGAGACTAAATTTAAAAGTTCTAAATGTCGAGCATTTTCGGATCTTTTCCAGCGAAGGAGTTCTTCTTTGAAATTCTAGCTAATATACATAATGATTAAAACCAACCCATAAACCATAAGCTAGCAAATCGAAAAGCGGTTATAAGCAGATACCACATGTATCAAGGAATCTAACCACAAGTCGTGCAACAAAATCCATACATCCAGTGCAGAAAAGGCACTAATAGGAGCGGATAAGCTGGCATCAATAAGGGACTCATACAAAATTTGGGAGTTATTCCGGTGCGGAGCACAATCAAACAAAATATGTTCAATATCTCCCACCTCTCCACAAGCACACCGATTAGATGGTTTTACATTTATCTTGTAAAGATGTGCTGGGGAACTACAATGATTACTAATCATTCTGCACACTGTTGTAATCTCCTTTCTGGACAGCTGCATTCACTCCCTACATGGAATAAGTTCTTTTTCTTTTGGTTTTACTTCTATTAGGCAAGTCTTCTGGGATCATTCGGACATTTTCTCGGTGAATGGTGACTTTCGTTCAAAACCGGGAAAGCTGCCCTAATTAAAAGGGACTGGACGAATCCATCACCCTCCGAGGGGAACGGACATGTAATGGTTTGTTGTCGTATTCAAATAGTGGAACAAGTTCTAATTAAATTATCACAAAATGACTGATTCTCCTAACGGATCCCGCAATTATCGCATACGGGATAACCGATCCCATATAGCCTGGTTACCAGCGTGAATATAAGACATTTGGTTCGCTGGTGAATCCATGGAATGGGTTAATTTCTGAAATGTTTATTTTAACCTTTATCGATTTATATAGGTTATGCGGTAATTCAAATAATACGTGTCCAAATTTTATTTGTTGATGTGTTCGCTGGACGTATTTATCAAGCAATTCACGGACAACCGCAAAACTGTTTTTGTTATTAGTGGTTACATTTTACAGTGACAGGGTAGATTTTGGATAATATAAACATTTCTTGGTTTATCATTGCATTGTACACTTCAATTGTCGCTCCAATGGCATCGAAAAAAGTTGCTGTGGTATGTGTCTTATCTTAATACGAAAGCTTGCTTTGAAACCACCCATTTACTCCTCCAGGTGACTGGAGGGAACAAAGGTATCGGCTTTGGTATCGTTAAAGGCTTGTGCGAAAGATTCGACGGTGAAGTTTATTTGACGTCTAGGGACGTGACGCGTGGTAGAGATGCTGTTGATAAGTTGAAAAAGTTGGGACTAAAGGCCCTGTATCATCAGCTGGACATTACCGATCAGAACAGCATCGACAGTTTTAAAGAGTACATTAAGAGCAAACATGGTGGGCTGGATCTGCTTGTGAACAATGCCGCCATCGCATTTAAGGTACTTTATCTTTGTCCGCTGGACTTTAACAACATTGTGGAGTTGTTTTAGCAAACTGCTAAAGAGCCCTTCAGTATACAAGCGAAGGAAACAATATTTGTCAATTATTTTTCCACCTTAAAACTGTGTGAGGCATTATTTCCTTTGCTTCGTAACAACGCTCGCGTGGTGAACCTATCTAGTAGCTTGGGTCACTTATCGCAGATCCCTTCCGTTGATCTTCGATCAAAATTTAACTCCAAGGACTTAGACATTCCCACGTTGAGTAAACTGATGGAAAAATTCGTAAAGTATATTTTGTCGTTCTGCCAGGTGTCACAGCAGGTGGGCTTTTTTTTTAATTTTTAGGGATGCCGAAGCAAACAGACACAAGGAAGAAGGTTGGGGAAACTCCGCCTATTCAGTTTCCAAAGTGGGGGTTAGTGCCTTAAGTATAATACAACAAAGAATGTTTGATCAGGAAGCCCCGAATCGGAATATTGTTGTTAATCACGTTCACCCTGGCTATGTGGATACCGATATGACTTCCCATATGGGACCATTGACCATCGACGAGGGAGCTAGGTCTGCTCTGTTTGCCGCACTCGATGCCGATTTCAAGGGGAAGTACGTTTGGTATGATTGCACTGTGGTCGAATGGGACGCTCCTAACGCTCCTTCACAGTAGTGTTTATTTCTCGTCGTTCACCAATTTACCCAAAAGGATTTTATGCACGTTGCACATTAAAGCAAACAATTACATCCAGCGTTTTATTTAGTACAATCCTCTTACTCCTGCAGTGCAAAACAATTAAGAACCAAAAATTTGTTGAACTCAATATATATTTTAAGCGAATATTTTACAGAACCACGTAGTTTTCTGTCGCTCCAGGCTCACGTGACACTAAAACATGTAGAAATTCTGCAAGCAAAAAAATTATCGTTTGGTACAGAGTGGTATTTGTTACGCTTACTTCCGGATCCTCGTCATGGGCGCACTTCATTACAGTGAATGCTTTCTCACACAGATCGTCAACATTTCCTGTAAAATACATACTTCTATTATCGTTTATTAAAAAAAAAAAAACTAAATCTCAGGTTGGTAGTCTGTAACCAAAGATGGCGGGGGTGTATTTTTAAGCAATAATAAAACTAATATTTTGAGACCTAAAAATTGTGGAAGTGCCTCTAACTAGAGAAGGCAGCATTACTTTTTCTATATTTTATTTTGGTGCGATATTCTTGAATCGAAGCTTAAAAACTGAAAAATTTATGTGTATGTGTATTGTGTAATGAAAAACTAACCAGCTTGTGGCGTACAGGTGTCGAACACTTTTTTATGTGCCTCCCGCATTTCTTCAGGCGCGATTTGCTCGACTGGTCCGAAATCGAAATCGCCACTGTCGCTTAACTTAAATTAAGTATACTAGTTTAGTATTTGGATTTGATAGGGTACTTGGATGTCTTACCACTCCCGATTCAGTGAGTGTGCATTTCATATAGCACTAAAAACAAAACATATCTATTAATAGATTCGTTTATAACATTATTTTGATGTTATGTAAGTATAACTAATTACATATTACATTTTATATTAAAGCTTTTACAGGCGGCAGGAGTTTGGTTGGTATTGAAAGTTAAATTGATTTTTTGCTAAAAAACTATTTCTAAGTTTCGTATTTCAACTAAAGTGCTTCTAGTGCAGATTTATCTTTTAGACATATAATTAACCAAGACTAAACCAATCTTAGTGATGAAAATATTATTGTTGCTAATCTCAATAGAAATTCGTGGCTAGAGTGGGATGGTGAAATTGTCTTAGACGTTTTTATAAAATTTACGTGGTGTATAAGACATGTTTCACACTCATAAATATTTTTTGAGATTTCTAACAACCTTGACAATATTAGAAGAATAATTTAATATAACTCGGCTTTTCAGGGACAAAAGAAATATTTAACTGTGAAATAAACAAAATTTTCAATCTCTTACCTTCAATTTCTCATCCTCTTGGATGTCTCCGCTAATTGCTTGATCGATTATTCCTAAAACATTAGCTACTATACAATAACTGCTAATTTTTTAGTAAATAATGCAAAGTACTAGATGATACCTTATGACTTGAAAACGGTGATGTACTAGTTTTAATACAGAGGCGATATGTGTACAATCATGACAGTGATGGAAATGATTTGTCAGACTACAGCATGTAAAACTACGGGGGGTTGTAAATTGGGGGATGCCACAAGGCTCGGTTCTTGGCCCTCCAATATACTCCATCTATGTGCGTAGTCTAACCTTGGATAACATTGGGAATATTGACTGCTTATTGTTTAATTTGTTAAAAACCATTATTAATAAAACCAAGTCAATGTTATTTAAGCAGGTAAACAAGATTATACAAATTAAGATTATAAAATTGATAACGTCAAATATATTAGAAACTATAAAATATTTGTAATTTAACTAAAATTACGTATTTTTTCAAAAATAAAAACCTTCATCTACACTGGTTTGTTCGACACACTTTTTGTGCACGGTGGTCATCATGGTTTTCATTTCGTCCGTGAACATCTGCAAAAAAATGTCTATATTGTTTATTTGTCTTTTGTAAATTGAATATTTATTATACGATATTTGACTGTCCATTTCAATACGAATTACGAATAAATACAATGTAAACAAATGTATTGCTGAGAACTCAAAACGGAAAAACACAAATTTTCACAGTGTTTTTTTTTTAATTATTTTTAAAATTTATTTAAATTATTTTTTTGCAAATTTCAAACTGAAAACATATCTTTTCATGTCTGCAACGCAGCTTATGGTGGTCATTTTCAATGTTAATTTTCTACAACTTTCATGATTTCTATTTTTGTTGCTAAAAAATTGCGTCAGTGGCGTTACATCTCTTTGATTGATCTTATTCGTTAAGGTACTCGCCAAGACGTGCATTGGTCTTCACAAATTCAACATAATCAATCAACAATCGAAGATTGATATTTTTTATTCAAACACTTTGTATATTAAAAGTAAAAAACCCAAATTTAAGCTTCTTTTCATGCAAAATAAATAAGAACAATAAGAAGAAACAAATGTGATAAAGACACCACCGTGTCTTTATCAAATGTGATAAAGACACGGTGTTGTCGAGACAATTGTCATGTCAAAATATATAATGTCGTGAAAATCGGAACTTTTAGTTCTTATTTATTTTGATTAATGGATTTTCATCAAGTAAAAGCCTCCTCAGTTCAATCCTTTTCATGCTTTTACCAGTTTTTTTTTTCAAAAATATAACATTATTTTTTATCTTTAATTCTGAGTGTCTCACAGTTTGCTATCTATCGAAAGGTTTTTATTGTTTCTGCAAGATCGTTGATTGTTATTTTCACAGCTAGTACGTTTCCTATGTATTACTTACCGATTCATCGATTGATCCTAAAACGCTGTAGATACAGAGCACTGAGATGACAGAGCCGCACAGACGCAACATTATGATTTAATTTGCCTCGTTAGTCGGTGTTGAATTTATATACAGTTTTCAACCAAAGGTGTTTAATTATAGCTTAATTTTCCGTGTCGAATAATTTGGAATTACGCAATAATGAATGTTTATGAGAGACTTGCAGTTTTTTTTTAAATCCATTGTTTGGAAAATACGCGAAATACCAAGAATCTCATTAATTAGCACCAAATTCTCATTATTACCTGTTTCCAAGCTCGGAAAATCGCCGTTTCAAATTACCGTGCTCCTAGCTGGGGGGTAGTTTTGATTAGGTTAGTCAGTCGCAACCAACATTTATGTTTTGAAAAAAAAAAATCTGTTGAGAAATTACTTTTATGGCATTTCAGAACTTAAGTGTATTTAAGGAATGACAAAAAGAAAGGGCTTTGCTATTTAGTAAAACTTTGGCACGTGTTTGAGAAATTATATTTAGGAAAAACCAAAGAAATATGTTTTATCTTTAAATCTTCCATTTCAAGTAGATGTGGCAATGCTGCAGTATCCTAAATATTTGAAAAATATAGATGATAAAATTTTGTGTAAAAAAAAATGGTTTATAAGTGGTACAAGCTGTTCCAAGAGGGCCGAGAAGATGCCGATGACGAAAGATTTAACAAGTATTTTATTGCAAGTATCGAAAATAAGTAAACGGGACATTAGGGACAGAGGTGGAATGCTTTAACACAAGATTTAAACAATTTGACCTACTCGTATTTACAGAGTTAAAAGTTGTAGCAAAAACTTTAAAAAAGAAAAACGGTAGTGTGGACGAGCTTTCGAAATAGTTGGTGACAGATTTTTACAATTAATTAATAATAGTTTCGAGTATGGTATATTTCCACAATACTGGAAGAAGTCTACAATCATACATCTATAGAGAAGCAGACACAAATAAAAGTGATGAATTTCGACCTATAAATATAGAGGAAATATTAAGTGCAAAAGCGAATTGTAAAGTGTCTTATTAAATTGGAAAAATGCTATGAAAGAAAATCAATATTGTAGGAGTGATTTTCTTGGAGTTTCGAAGAGCCTTTGAGGCAATAGACAGGTGTAAACTCTTATAAAAATTAAAAAATACGGTATTCAGGGCGTGGTGCTGAATTGGTTTGAAAACTATCTATCAAACTGTACTCAGGAAACAATGCACAAGGAAAATCAATTTGGTGTACCTCAGGGAACTGTGTTGGGGCCGAATCTTTTCATTGTCTATGTAGACGACATTGTACGACAGTTAAAAAAGTGTAACGATACGACTCAGAGACGAAAAAAAATTTTAATTGCGTCAGTGGCGTACATCTCTTTAATTGATCTTATTCGTTAAGATAAAAATCTGTTCATAGATATAAGAAAGTGACTAACTGATACAATTAAGGAAAGACCCGGGCAAGCTGTAAGAATAAAATATGGCCGAACAGGTCCGTACTTTGCTTAGAATTTAATTATTTGGGGTTTTGTTAGGAAAGATACTAAACAATATTTATTTATTTATGTTTAAATCTAAAATAAAATTACAAATTATTTTTATTACCTACTTAAATTACTTAAATTTATTCACATAATATATGAGTATCACTATCGCTATCATCGCCTGTTCTAATTATTATTTGTTCTATATTATTTGCAATATGGATATACGATTGTTCTGCTTTTTCTATATGTTTAACATAATTTGCCCAACTTTGTGGAGGGATGTTAAAAACTTCGGTTTATATAGGTTTGAGAACATTGGAGTTAATACGGGGAAAAACATTGTTACTACGAACGTCAGATTTCAGTTGGTGCCGAACATGTTCAATGGGATTAAATATACAGTGGTAAGATGGGAGCCTTAAAACTGTATGCCCTAGATTTTTTTGCATAATACTTTTTTAGGTTCAAGCTTTCTAGAACCTCAATTAATTGCTTTTTGGTATAATCTTGGTGAACATAAATGTCGTTATTATACATGTAGTTTTGGATTGTTGCTTTTGTGAGGAAGTCAACTGTCTACTGTGATAACTTGCATTGTCCGTTACAATGACGTTATTAGGAGGAATGTTTGGAACTAGTTTGTTTTTAAACCAACTTTCAAATAAATTAGCGGTGGTGTCTTCATGGTAATCCAGAGAAGAATCTTTAATATTTTTTGCAGACTGAGAAAGTCCATTTGGAATCCAACCATCTTTAGAGCCAGCATGCAAAATAGTTATTCTTTTACCTCTTTTTGATGGCGCGTTTGTTTTACACTAATCAGTTGAGTCAACCTAACCCAACCAGGTTTCATCCAAGTAAATAATTGGCCTTTGTTGTTCTCTATAAATCCTAATTTTTTCTAGATAGTTCAGTCGCCATTTCCGAATTCTAAAAGATTCCATTAAAACTTGCCTTTTGTCATTTTTTTAAAATCTAAAACCCATGTGTTGAATACACTTCCATAAGGTAGTTCTGCCACATTTAACACCGGTTTCATCTTTTTCAAACCTCCTAATTAAGATATCTAATGTAGGCACGCTTTGTTCCTCGTATAACTGGAAAATTTTACGCCGTATTATATCTTGATCGCTCATCCGGTCTTTTCGAAATTTTTTTCTTTCCACACAAAGCTGTATCTGAATGATAGCCTTTCTATTATCTATATGCTTCTAATCTTGCTTTCGTAGAATGTAATAAAACACACAAATTTGCATTACGTTTTATTTAATTTCAGAGGAATAATAAATAAAAAAAAACGGAAGTAAATCTATGTCAGAGGAGTAAATTTATAAATAAAACTATAACAACGCTGAAAATAGTTTCGCGTCATCGTTCCTGACTACATCTTCGTGCCATTCGCATCTCACACTCCGCATTCGTTCTGTATGTACACTTTATTCGAGAACCCTTTACAATAAACCTATTTAACTATACCATGTTTATACCCTTTCCTACCCTTCGACTTTACGCAACGACCCTTGTAACAGATTTCCGTTTCGTGAGAAACTTCCGTAGAAGTGGAAGTCTTCACCGCCTTCATTTCCCATGGTTCCACTTCGAATTTCTCTGGTATCGTACTCGAAGACAGCTCGGTACCGTCGCGTAGATCCTCGAGGACGTCGGTCGTCGTTTCCGCTACGTCCGGCTCCGTTTGAGTGGTCGACGTTACCGAATCTTCGGTGATTTCCTCCGGAAAAGTCGGATCCACCGACGTAGTGGTCGCAACGACTACCGGTTCGTCAGTGGACTTCGACGTCACGGTCGATTCGTTTCTGCTTTGATCCTTAAAGACGTCGAACATTTCGTAAATCGCATCGAAAAAGGACTCCGTGGACGTAGCCGCCGACACCTTATCTTCTTCTTCGTTTCGCTCGCTTGTAGCTTCCGGTTTGGGTTCGATCTTCTGAATAGACTCGAAAGCGTTCAATACCGACTGGTAGTTTTGCGACTCTGCCGTTTCCAGCGGATCGGCGACCCTGTGTCTGATTACTTTCCAAACTCCTCTCTTTCTACCCGGTTTTCTCGTAGTTGATGTTTCGACAGTCTCCTCCGCAGACGTAGTGATTCTATCCAACTTGACGAGGTCTTCGATTTCCGCGTGCTTCTTCACAGATTCCTCACTATTTTCTTCCGCCACCGCCGCTTCCGTGGCGGGACTCTGCCAAACTCTCGTTTTCTCCTGGGACTCAATTTGGTTCCATCCTTCAGGTTTCGGCAGGATTTTAGGTGTGTGTATCGACGCGTGTGGGGACTGATCATCGTCAGATTGTGTTAAGTGTGACGTAGGTCTCGCAATTTCCAGCCGTTGCAGGAACTTTTCCGGGTAGTTCCCGTTCTCCGCGTCCTCGTCGCTTTCCCTTTTCACGTTCTCCGGATTGCGATAGTGCGTCGAACCTCTTCCGCGAGTCCTAACTTCCGTCCTTCTTGTTATTTGTTCCGTGTTTCTGGAACCGTTCACCTCGTTGTCCGATTGCCGTTGGTTGTAAACATTGGTTGTTGGCGGCCTGGTCCTTCCTCTCGTCCTGGTCCTCGGCACTTCTTGGTTGTCTCGATATTTGGGCCTGATTTCCCCTACGAACTGAACCGTGCTTTCTTCATTCCTTGCCGTTGCTTCCGCAGGTCTCTGCGCCCCGAAGTTAGGCGTTTTGATGAACCCGAAGAATTCGGCTTCTTCTCGGGCCTGCGTGGTCGTCCGGTACGTGGAACTGACGGTTCTTGTCGCAGGTCTTGCAGTAGTACTCGACGCGAACCTGGACCTGCCTCGAGTTCTTCCTCTGGTTCTCGGAGCTTGCCGAGTAGTTTCTTCGTTCTTGTTGTTATTCAAGATGCCCCCAGCCCTGATGTTGGCGTTGTAATGCACGTATTGCTCGTCTTCATCCGCCGCGGTTATTATATCCGAGCTTCTTTGCTTTTCCTCGACACTCGGATGCCTGATCTCCATATCAACAACTGATGGCCCATCGGTCGAACTGGGTGACTGCAGGCTGTACACTTGGTGATATTCTTTAACTCCTTCTTCCTCCCGTGGCGGTGCAGTGATGATCTGTTGATCTTCCACGACGTGCGTAAACCGCATGTAGGATTCGGGGTCCTTATTGAAGGAAGCCTCGAAGCCGCCTTCTAGCGTGGGCTGTTTGACCGAACTCAACTCGTTCTCGGTCGTGGAGCTGCTTTCCGCGATGGCGTTTTGAAGGGGCCGACCTCTCGTCCTAAATCGGGGTTTCGACAACTTCGCGGTCTCTACGGACTCCCCGGACGAGTAATCCGACCCTGAATCGACCCTCTCGGTCGCCGAAGGTCTCGAAGGTCTTCGTCTACTGACGTTTCTTCGGGGCGAGGAAGTTGAAGGCTGCCTTCCACGTTGCCGTCCCCTTGATCGAGGCGTGGTCGTAGATCTCGGGCTTTCGCTTGTCGCTGGTGTTTCCACCTCTACTTCGGTGGGGGTCGTTTGACTCTGTTGGTGTGTGGAAGGCACTAGCAAATTGGAAGCTAGAAGCGAACGCACCGCCTGATCTTCGAAGGGATTGATGAAATGGTCTTCGTAGTCCGGAGCGTTCAACCTCTCGGAGTTATCTCTGATGACCTCTTCTTGCGCGCTCGGCTGCTCTACGTATTTTCCCGGCGATACGTCCTCGTTAGCTTGCGATTGAGTCTGATATACGTTCTGTAGTTCCGGTTGGAATTGGTCTACGCCGCTCCCGCTCAAGCTCGAAATCTCCTGCGTGAACTGTTTGTTGTTTAGATCGGGGTCATATGACGGCTGGTTCTCGTTCTCGGGTTGCTTGTTGTTGTTGTAGTTCTCGAATCTGCTTTCGTAGTTGTTAAAGTCCGTCGTCCCGTTTTGAATTTCTAAACTTTCCTGAGGGTTTCTTCTTGGGGACTCGGAATAAGGTTTTGTATTTGTTTCTAATACATATTGATTATTAGATTGAGTTCTCTCTGCCTCGGCGTAGGGTCTTCCGTACGGTTCGTCTTGTTCCACCAGGTACCTAGCCTGACTCTCTGTCGTCGATGTCCTTCTGGGTACCTCAGGTTGCAGCGGGTTTGCGTTTTGAGGCAAATACTGTGAATAAGTAGCGTATTCGGGAACGGGGGTCGACGACCTTCTCGAAGAGTCCAACTGGACAGGTTGGTAAGTATTGTCTACTGGTTGGGTAGCGACGAATTCCTCCAATACGGTATACCGTTCCTTGTCCGGAACCTCGGTCGATCGAGTAGGAGTCGTAGTCGTTCGAGAAGGAGGTCGCGTTCTGCCTCTACGTCTGGTAGATTGCGGTCTTTCCGTGGTCTGCTGGTTTTCGTAGTGCACCCTACCCCTAGGGATCGGCACCGACGTGCTAGTCCGAATATTGTCGTACTCGAAACTGGTCTGGCCTTTTGCGTTCGCATGTTTCACCAGTTTCTTATTAGGTTCCGCGTATTGGTTGTTGATTTGATCCAGTTCGAATTCGGTGATGGCCAACTCCAGGGGATTTATTTCGGGCAGACCTTGTCTTTTTTGCTCCTGCTCGGGGTTTTGCACGACGACCCGGGATAAAATGTCCGGTAGTTTATAAGGTTTGACCGTTTGACTTTCGTAGTTTTGGTTATTGAAAATTTCGCGATTAAATTCGATCGCAGGACTTGCAGTCGATCCGGTGCCCTGCTCGAACGTGTCCGTTTGCAAATTATAAACTTCAGGTTGTCGGACGTTGTAAGAATTTACGGGCCTTTCGGTCGTAGTACTTTGGTACGGGACGTTGTAATTTATATTGGGGGACCCTTCTTTGAAACTATTCGGCGTTGTGGTTTGGTACGAAACCCCACCATTTCCTGCGTTTTGTTGCAAATTGGCGTATCCGCCGTAATCCGGGGGTTTCGGTGCGTACAAGTTCGAATTATAGTTTTGGTTGAACGGCCCGGGAGTGGTCGGCTTCTCCGCCGTCGACACCACCACCGAACCGACGTGGGGAGAAGGTAGAGGTATCTTCGAATACCCCTGGGGAGTTTTGTAACTTAACGGCGCTACAAAGAACGGCAGCTGATCGATTTTTTTCTCGACCCTGTTTCCGTCCACGTTGTTCAGATAAGGGAGCGGGAACTTCAGGTAGCCGTCGTGGCCGTCGAGGTTCGACGGGCCGATGAATATCTTCGGGGAGTTCTTCGATATCGTGTCTTGCACGGCGATCGATTTGGCTCGTTTCAGAACTTCCAGGACTTCCGATACGTCGCCCCGCTGCTGTGCGGACTCCATGAACACCGCTAGCGGAGGCTGATGCGGTTTCCGCTTCTTCGGTTTCGGGGTGGTCGTAGTGGTCACGATTTCCAACGGGACTCGTCCTTGGTCGAGCTGCTGCTGGAGCCTGTGCGCTTGCAAAGCCTGCCGGGTGAAGTCTTGTTGGATCTGCGCCAGTCTCTCCCCTTTATCGGGGAAAGATGGACGAGATTGCTGAGGGGCGTTGTAGTAAGGATGTTGTCCGGATGTTATCGCGTCTCGAGAGGCAGGCTTATCCGCTGGTATGTAAAGAACGTCGACAGGTTCTTGTGGTTTCGGTAGGGAACCATTTATGGCTCGGTAAAGCTCGTCGTTGATAGAAGTGGGGTTTAACGAATGGTAAAAGCTGCTGTTGAACGGCAAATTGTACTGGTCGTAAAGGCTGGGAGCGTCGACGGCCGGGGCTTGGGGTTTAACGCTCGGCACAGGTACGTAACGACCGCTTTGCTGCTGGTTGCTTAAGTAATAATTTGGTTGCTGCGGTGCTGGATCTACGAAATACCCAGAGGCGTGGGGTTTGTTGTTGTAATAATTAATCTCGGGCTGCTCTCTAATGGACGGAGGAGGTTGTTCGATTAGGTAGGGCTTCACGGCTTCCGTGTTGTAGTAATTTATTTGCGGCTGGTCTTTCACCGGAGGTGGCGGCGGCGTTTCGAACCTGTATTCGGGTTGATATTTGATTTTCCTCGGCCTCGCGCCGTCCGCCGCTTTCTTGTACGGCGCGAACTGTTGCTCTTGACGCGGCAGCGGAGGCTGCGGCCGCTTTACGTTGGCGTAATCTTCGTTGGTGACGAATCTTTGGGCAGGCGCGTCGAGGCTCAGGACCCGGTCGCTAGCTTTTTTCTCGGGGTTACCTCTGGGGACGGCGGGCGTCACGGGGATCCAGTCGCTTTCCTCATACGATTTGTCGGCTTGAGACTTCGTCTCGGCTATCAACACGACGATCAGACCGGTCAAGACCGCCCGTCGAGTTTCCCGCGGAATCTGAAACAACGAAGGACTTCGGGTTATTAGACCGCGTAAGAGAAAGAACGTTTCTGGTATAGAACGAAGCCGCTATAGTCATCGTACCGGCTTTTGGCCGCAATTATGGAAGTTACCTGCCGGCGGTAATAAAACTGGGGTCCGGTAGGTATTGGAGGACATAATAAGAGGGACGGACTCTCAAAGGTTTTGGAAATAATATATATTTTTTTCCTTATATACAATAAATTCATTGCTAGGAATATCTATACATAATTACGTTTTTATTCTAAATTTCTAATTCCAATTCGGTTTCACTATCGGACTCATCATGTACTATACAGAATTTTTCGAGCCCTCAATTGGTATGTTATTAATTACATTTTTTATCAAATTTATTACGCTGGTACTTAAAGTAGAGTCATATTTTCTGCTCTGACTTTTGATTTTACTTTACTATACATAATTACATTTTTATTCTAAATGTCTAAATATAATCGTGTTTCTCTATCAGAGTCGTTATTGAGGTTAATTATAATATGATTTCTCTTATTTTGTATAGAAATGCAAGATAATAATAATAATAATAACAATTTTATTCACGTATTGATATACAATGAAAAGGACACGGTTCAGATGAACAAAATAAGATATTTTGTGCCTCCGTTTTTAAAGCTATCCTAAGAAGAAGGCACCAGCGCTAGGCATAAAAAATACACATAAAAAAATAAATAAATACCTAGTACGATCTGTGCAAATGGAGGGACTTACACTTTGGAAATAGTTTACAGTAGACATTACTTAAATATTTAATAATAATAATACTGCACGCAGGTGTGTGGAATAAGTTTTGTTTAGCAATTTAAGCGACCGATCCAAGGCATTATATGTTTTAGCCATGTCATATGTAAAGGATCTTTCAAAAATTCCAGAGGTGTGAGGTGAAGGGGTGAGCACGCCTTTAAATCTTAAATTTAAATTGTGAACGTCAGTGCAAAAGCTTATTTTTCTGAAAAGATAACGTGGAGACTTCAATATTATAATTTTGTGATAAAGATTACATTTATGGAGATATCGTCGATTTTTCATATTAAGCCATCGGACTTCCTTCAGTTTATGATTAACAGGTTTGCCGCGTATAATCCCAAAAATGAATCTTAGACAGTATTTCTGGATTTTTTGAATCCGTTCTGAGGTAGCCGCACAGTGGTGGTTGATATAAAATATTTTTAGAATCATATAAACATTTTAAGTGAGAAATTGATTTTTTAATACATTGTGGAACGTTGACCATAAAATCTTTTTTTTTTAAAGATTTTTCGCCTCCGTTTTCAGAGGAACGCACACATTCGATATTTTTATTTCAACTAGTTGCGATAATCGATCAACATCCACGGGCCTACCAAAGAACATTGCTATAGATTTTTTTGGATTTAAATGGAGTGAATGTTCTAAGGACACCCTGTTAATGATTTCTATATCAATATTTATGATTTATATATATATATATATATATATATATATATATATATATATATATATATATATATATATATATATATATATATATATATATATATATATATATATATAGTGTTCGAAGTGTTTTCGGAGCGCGAGCATTGAAGATGCCAAGTGAGATTTTGGCGAAACGTCTGCAGGATTCCAGTCGGATGCAAGATTTGCAGGATTCCAGTCGGATGCAGGATTCCAGTCGGAGTTCAACGAGCGAACGGATGATATCCCGGAATATAGTGTCATCATATATATATATATATATATATATATATATATATATATATATATATATATATATATATATATATATATATATATATATATATATATATATATATATATATATATATATATATATATATATATATATATATATATATATATATATATATATATATATATATAGATATATATATAGATATATATATATATATATATATATATATATATATATATATATATATATATATATATATATATATATATATATATATATATATATATATATATATATATATATATATATATATATATATATAGATATATATATATATATATATATATATATATATATATATATATATATATATATATATATATATATATATATATGTATATATGACTTTTTTCAATAGAGTAAATGGTTTTAGAGAAAATAGTTGCCATGCAGTCGTCATAACAGTAAATAACGTCATCGCGTCTAAATTGAGGCCGAGAAATGGTGATTTTCATTTGGATTTTTTCAAAATAGACGAAAACCGAAAATAAAAAAATTGTTACTCTCGATGTGGCCTATACCACTATTTTAACCAATTAGCCATATTTTGAAAGAATTTTGATTTATGACTCATAATTTACTCTGGAAACGGATAATTTTCAAGGTCATTAAAATTTTTATCCATAGCTGAAAAACCCTGTATATAATCAAAAAAATCCCCGCAATAAAGGTTATAGTACCGGATCTTCCGCGTCTGCCGGTTAAAGAATGTTGCCGATCGGAATAATAGTTTTGAAGAAAATAATTCTTTTCTGAAAAAAAAAAAGATAACCGGAAAAAAAAATAAAAAAAATTAAATGCGGCTCTGACTTGTGCTTCTCTGCTAAATCTGAAGCCGGTAGCTGCAAATTTAGGGCACCTATTACGTTTTATAATATTGCACGGTATATTGTGAACACCCTGTACAATAGGTAAAAACATTAAATGCAAAAGTCTTAGCTGGCTACACGAGCTATATTATGGGGTAAAACAAATTGACTTTTGAATCGCAATCTTCTAATTACGGCAAATTTTCATTAAAAAAGAAACCCCATTTTCAGTTTTTTTCGAATATTGGCCACACCCTGTACATTTTTAAAAAATGTCAAGAGTAAAAGTTTATTGCATTGGGTCTTGCGGATCTTTTGACACACAATTTTTCATAGGGATGTCCAAAAAACAGCAAAAAGCATATATTTCAAACCAGACATATTTATGCGCATATTTTAAGTATTTTCTGCGCATACAAATCCGAACCCTAGCAATAACATTTTTAAAGTTTTATTGGGATGGTTCCGTCGAAAGCCAACACAGACCACACAGACTATACCGGCTGGTAAATTTTGGCGAAAAGAATCGTAACATGGAAGGAAAACAATGGGTTGCCTGTGTGCTCGAAAATGCCGGATGAAACGTTTGTATTCGGGGAAGAATATGAAGAAATTCGACACGTTCTTGTCCTGTAAAAAGCTCGTAACGGCTTTGTTCCGAAATCAATTGAACGCCGGCAAAATAACAAGTGCCCATTATGAAACGATGGCGACTATTGCGAGAACTCAGACAAGGACTATATTTATCTCCCTGCTAGATATAAGTGCGCCGAGTAGAGCTTGTAAATCGCATTGCGCAACCATGCAGTGTGACGCCATTTGCGGCATATTTTCCAGTTTAAAACGCTCGGCAGTCAATGCGTAATTGTTTTAGCATCCATCGAATATAATAATAATATTTTTTCGACAAACACTATATTTGTATAGGAAATTGCCAGAAAAAATAAAATAAAATTAAATGACCCATAATCCAAGGCTACAATCTGTAAAAGACTAAAGTACTCTTCTAGGCATTTAATCACAAGATATTCCTTTAACATTTTTTTTAATGCACATAAATTATCGCACATTTTTATTTCCATTATTTATTTATTTATTACTATTATATTTCACATAAGAAGCTCTGAAGTCGTCCTTAGTTTTACAAGAAGTAGATTTGGAAATACCGGCTATGCATCTTATCATCACAAAATTGTACCATACATTTAAAATTTGTGATTCTGTTAAAATATCCTTCGGGTTATGTAATAAATAAATATTGGCTCCAACAATCAACTTAGATAAAACACAGTACTTGCCCTTTTCAAATTATGATGATCGACTACCTACAAACAATAACCTTACTATAAAACTATTGTTTAGAAGCAGTTGCTGGTCTTTACGCAGAGCTGAGAGCAGAGCGATAGGCTATGTGCGTTCTAGAATAAATTTTCTCATTTTTACATGTAAATTCCCATAAGAAAATTCAAGGTTCATATTAGCGAAAATTGGTCGGCTCAAGATCATTCGATCCACCACAACTATTAGCAACAACCGACCAACCCTCACCCCTTCCCACAAGTATAAGTGTTTTTTTGTATTAATATTTATTTAATGTTTAAATAAGTTGTTAAATTGTATATTTTTATTGATTTAAATAAATATTATTACTATTATTATTATTATTATTATTATTATTATTATTATTATTATTAATATTATTATTATTATCTATGAATATTGCCAAATCTTCAGTATTCATGTGGCTTTTCGTTATGATGAATCTCATAAAAGATGTTAGTGAATGAGACTCGATGTAGTTGAACTATAAGCATTCTAAAAAAATAATTACTAAAAGTCGGTATATTTTTGTCAGGCAAATCCAGCATCGCAGTAAAATAATTGAGACAGAATCAAAACTGGCATGGAAAATGTTTCAACACGAAATTTTCAATGAAATACATTGGAGAGATTGAAAAAAATGTGTTTGATGTGGTGGAAATATAGACAGATAAATATGAGGATACAAAAAATGAAATAAGCACTTATGAATTTTATGAAATCTCTTAAATAACTAATTTTCAACTTGTTTTATTGCAACCCAGGCTCACAGATACCTTGGAAGAATCGTAATCTTCTAAAGTTGAGAATTATATAAATAAAAGAATTTACACGTTGAAAAATAATTAGTATTTAGCAAAAGCCACGACCAATAAATATGATCAAATATAACTGCTTTTGCGGCTGATAGTTGGCAGGAAGCGCTGACATCACGGCCAAGAGCGCGTTTATAGAATTTGAATCGATGTGGTACGACCAAAAATATAGTGCATTTATGGCTTTGACGTTGTAGGTGTTTTACAGTAATTTTACCGCAGACAGGTGTTTATTCTGCATTAAGTAGATATTGCCTGTGGGGTATTTTCAAACAAGTAGAA